CACGAGAGGTGAGCTTGGAAAGGGCAGAGAAGGTTAGAACCAGTTCTCGAAGGAAACAGGATATAAAAACTAAGAATTGAACTAAGTCAGAGGTAGCAATCTGGGTTGAAGAATATAAAGGTCTGTAGGACTGGAGATAAGTCATGAGAGTTGCGGTGCCTCGGTGAGCTTGGCCAGACTGGGGTGCTGTTGGTGCCGCCTCGGCTGCAAGGGGCCTCCACCTCCACGTGTTTCCGTTTCCTGCTAACTCGAGTGTGGCTGGTGCTCCTGAATGCCCTTAAGACCACAGCTACCAACACTCAGAATACATTTTTCCCCACTAAATATACATCTCCTACCTCCTTTAAGCTCCACTATCTAGGAACGAGAGAATGTTACATGAAAACATAAGCAATAGAAAGTATCGCCAGTATATAGAGACCATCTCTTCAAGCCCATGAAGTTACCAAGGCCTCATTCTGCAGTGCTGCACATCATTCCCCCCATCAAATACTGATTTAACTCTTCTATATGCAAACTGATCTAAAACTAGTTAAGCTAAAGGAGAATCCCCCCCTCAAAGCAACATTAGCCATCCTTCTTTCACTCCCAATTTGTTTGTGCAGGACCCCTGTGCTTTCTCAAGCTACCTGAGAGCTTTTCTTTTGCTGTGGAGCGCTGAGAAGCTGCAGGAAAATGTCCCTGATAACCATGGCCTTGAAAAATATACAACTACAAATCAAGTGTTTATGGGCTCACAGCACACACACATGTGAACTGGTTAACGTTTTGGTTAACTAGAGAAAAAAGTCTCTTTACAGAAGTGCAGGGGGATTATTTTCTTATGGGTTTAGCAAGAACTGCATAGTCTTGGTCAGAAATATTTAAAGCAGCAAGGAAAGAACCCTCTGAGTCCCATAACCTTCAGAACACCCTGTGGAATGGTAAAACAATCAGCCCAGAAACACTACCAAATGCTCACAGACTTGCTTGCTGACATTCCTTCCTACTTGCTTCTTGCAGAAAACTCCCTCTTCCCTCCAATGCAAGTCTCTGGAGATGCCCGAGCAGTTCACTTGGGAGTTGTGGTTCTCCAGCTGCAATATCCTCCTCAAACTCTCACATTCCTCCCATAGCAAGTGTAATCCTTATTTTTTTTTCCATATAGACTGTGCTTTACTTACCAGTGATATGTCTGACATGCCTAGAGCGTGCCAGCTGCTGAGAAAGCAAGTTAAGTGATCTTTGCCTCTCTCAAATTTCCGGGATTTTCACGAGAAGGCTCCTGCACCTGCCACCTTGCATTGCCCCACCCCAATGCTGGAGGTGATGGGTTTGAAGCAGAGTGTTAAGTTCTATGCTATCACACCCCTCTCTGATGGGGTCTAATCAGACCAGAAACAAGATTTGAGTCCATAACTGCCCACAGCAGTAAGTCCCACCAGGAGCTTCCCCCTCCTTCCCAAACACTCCCCATTTGGGCACGACGTTCACATCACGACAGGATGTCACTTCCTTGAAGAGGGAATTAGACTCTTTCTGTCTTCCCTTAGCTGTTTTCACCAGCTCACATCAATGCTCAAGGCTGTTACCCTTCCTCAGTCCAGCACATAAGCCCTCACCTTGCTTCCCTGGGCATAGCCTCAACAGCAGAGCTAGACTTGGTTATGAGGAACCTTGGTTAAAAATGGGCAAGTATTTTAACTGGAGCTGCTCACAACTGCATCTAGGAAAGACAGAGAGAGCTGACCTTAGTTTCCATGGTGTTCTGTGCTCTGTTTTGGATACATTTTATGTTCCTAATTTCTGTGGAACAGCCACATTTTCATTGTCTTGTCCTCAGTAAAACCTAATTTCCTTTTAATTAAGTTAAAAATTATAATACAGATCAATAAGCCAATAAACCGTTCTTCTACTGACTAAATAGGGACGTATCCAGGTAGTCTACCATGGTGTTCCTCATTTATCCACGTTACTGTTTAGCAGAATCTTAATTCTCCAAGTCAGGATTAATTGAAGTGTATGTCACACTTCACTTTTCACTGCAGATTTCACTCTGCACTGTGAGCTCAGGGTAATTCTGCTTAGTTCTGGTGATCCACGACACCATTTCCAAGTTTTCTGCCTGTCTTGAACATCTCTTTTGCTGGCAGGGCCAGATTCCACAACTCTGATGGGCAGAGAGACAACCACAGGATAAAACTTCTTGGTGAAGCTTACCCACCACTCCAGGCTGGGGGATCATTTCACGTGAACTGCTTCAACAACATGTTTTCAATGTTTTCTCTTACAGTCATTTGCCTTTAACTGAACTTTCAGTATGCCCCCAGGCATCTGGGTGATCAGAAATAATTTCCAAGGGGACCATGCACGTTGATGCGTCATTATTCTAAACCAAGTACTTCTCATCTATTTTTATGAAAGACTCATACTTCTAACTTCCCTTATTAAAAATAGCTTCCTTTTTTTCCCTCTTTTGGAGGTTTTATGTTCAATTAGCTGAAATCAGAAAAGACCTGTTCACTTCACGGCCAGCTCTCCAGTTTGAGGACGAGCAGGAGAATATCTAATAGGAAAAGGTTTTGCATGACACAATTTCTCTGCCAGGGATCCGGGCTTTGGATGTCTCAATAAGGAGACGTTCCCCTACTGCAGAATGTCTGTGTCCTTAGAAACAGCTGGCACAGCAGCTGCCCCATAACTTCTTCTAGAGAATCCCCTGCTCGTGTAAAACATGCAGCTTTAAACAATCTTTCTTACATATTACAGAACTTGAACACACAGCGGAGAACAGGTACTTTCACCAGCACAAACACTTGGCTTCCTAAGAAACTTTTCAGCCTGTGTAATGATCTACTTGGGACAGGACCCCCTTCCAAAATACAAATATTTGTACTCAGAACAAATGTAAATATTTAACACAAAAGTCAACCTACAGAAATAACGAGCCATGTCTGTATGCCGAGATGCTCTTACTGAACCATGATGCACGTTACTCCAGCTACTACATTCAAAGCCACTCGCAGCCCTCTGTAGCACACAGAGCAACCCAATGGCCAGAGAGGATCCACTAACTTCTGCCTCCAAACACCAGCATCCCAGAGGTCCTGGCCACGCAAAGGGTGAGGACAAGCTGGTGTGCTGAAACCTGGGGCTCCCTCCTGTACAGAGGCCCCCTTGCCCAGGAAGAACCTGGGGTGCTGAAACCTGGGGCTCCCTCCTGCAGAGAGGCCCCTCGCACTCAGCTTGGCACACGCCAGAGCCGCAGCTGAACGCGCGTCACATTCTGCCCTTCGCCGCTGCTCCCGTGGCTGGGGAGGCCTGACCAAACGAGGCTCTATGCTTTGGGACTCCAGGTTCTAGGTTGCACTGACTGAAATGGCTTCATGGCACCTCCCTTTTATTCTTACAGGGAAGTGGGAAGCCTAAAGCCCTTAGGACGCTCTACTGTCTCCACTGTTCCCTCCCAGTCTCTCGGCAGCTCTGCCCCATCACGTTCCCTGGTGTCCCCCAGCATCTCCCCCGCCCAGCTCTGCTCAGGCAGACCCCCCGCTTTGCCTCTCTCTCCATGACCCATTTCTCACCCCCGGCTGATCCAGGAACAGCCACTTACCCAAGTGGCAGCTGCCAGGGGCTCCCCAGCGAGGCAGGGAGCAGTAACCGCTCCCCAACCGCAGCCCCTTCTCGCTGCCTGGAGCACTAACCTGGTCACGCCGGGCAGCCCTCCGCACCAGAGCTCTGCGAGCCGGGGACTCTATCAAAGAACAGGTGAAAACAGTTAATGGATCAAGCAGAGGAGCTGAACCTACCCCAGCAGCAGAGCCACCAAAGCTTCCCTTAAATTCTCACAAAGGTCCAGGTGCTATCACACACCATGGGTTGCAACAAGCAGTAAGAAAAGGCACTGCTTTTAAAGCTTTTGCTGTGTTATAACATCCCTGTTTAGAATTATATAGAACATTCAATCGAGTATTTTATGTTTTTATTGAAGCTCACTGCAGTTGATCAGTAATGAGCAGGTATCTTCCCTCCTCCTCACAAAACCACATTCGCAAATAATTCAGCATGTGGCTATTCGTGTTGAAGGGATCAGGCAAGTAATTACAGCCAAGCAGACCTAAATTGACCATTTACTCACAGATGTCTCCTCACCAGTTCAGCCTGCTCAGGAAAGGAACTACGACAAGGGAGAAACACCTGCCTTCTACCTACCCTGCTCCGGCAAGAAACAAATGGAGCAGGAACTTCTGGAAGAGAAATTTCACAGAAAACACTGAAGAAGTTTTAAAATTGCTGCATATAACACGATTTTGAACATGGCACTAAACTATGGTTTGCAATTACAATAGATAAGGCAGCAGGTCCCCTTACGCTTTTCTTCAGACAGGAAGAGAAGAAACTTCTCACTTTTGTAAAACAGCCCAGAGAGTTTAGTGTGAAACAGACTGTGTGAGTGCAGAGATGATCAAAATGAAGAGCAGGCCTGGGCACTTCTAAGGTGGCTGCAGGAGCTTAAGTCTGGTCGTCTGCTTCTACAGTGACCTGGAAGCCACTTCATTTCACAGAATCACGGAATGATTGAGGTTGGAAGGGACCTCTAGAGATCATCTAGTCCAACCCCCCTCTCCACTGCTTGATTCATCTTCCTGTAGTCCTCAATAGGGAGATTACAATAAAAATGAAAGATTCCTGATAAAGCATCTGTGGTGGCTGCATTGCCAAACAACTGCAACTATCCTAGACAGGACAATGAACGAGCATTTAGCGAGGCTCCATCTCCTTCCAGCACCATCAGCCTGTCTTGCCCCCTCCTGCCCCAGGAAAAAAATAAAATAGTCTGTTTTACTTTAATCTTTATTATAAACAATTTTGTAGTTTCCAGAATGTGATTTCTACATACTAGATAACAAAAACATCCTTAGCTGAATTGGCTTTATCTTTTTCTAGATTAAATCAGAACCAGCAAACCAGAAATATTTATTATCATCTTTTAGGTATTTAGTCTATTGTAAGAAAAAAACCCAACACATTTACAAACACAGAATTAAAGATGCACATTTGATCCTATATACATAAGCAGCTGTTGAAACTCTGGACAGAGAGTTACAAGGAACTTCTTTGCACATAAATAGATTTTAAAAAGTATTTTTCTTTCATGTGTATACAAAATTATTTTGCTTTCAATACTGAGTCAAGTTCTCAGAGACATAAACAAGGATTTTACAAGGATTTTCTAAGAGAAGGATTCCCACGTATCACTTACAGTGTGGGCAGTCACGCACCCAAAGCTGTATTAATACAATTTACACAGCATTCCTATACAATACTTGGTCTCTTTATATACATACTTACAAGTTGCTTCTGTACACAAGATGCCATCTCTGTGACGGAAACAGCATCTCCCCTGAAAAGGCTGCGTTAGGCTCAGTGCTTGTGCGGAACAAAACCAAGCCGCAAGGGCAGCAGCCCCGGGCTCCGGGAGGGGCCGAGGTGCCGCTGCAGCCAGGGCGATTCCGCTGTCCCTGCGCCTGGCCAGGCCCAGCTGGGAGGGCCGATACGTGACCCTCAGAGACCATCAAGCCCACAACAGTGCCCTGGTGAATTGGGGTGAAAGCCACCACGCGCTTCTTTGCTCTTCAGGATTCTCTTCAAGCTGCTGCAGTTGTCTTCTGGGGGAGAATTTTGGCTTTTACATGACCTTTTCAGTATGGTTTAAGTTATTTATTGGGGTAGGGAGGGTTGGTGGGGTGGGACATGACACACACGACCTGTGAAACTCTTCCTTAATGCAGGTAGGAGGGTGCGCTGCGTCGCAATGACAGAGCAGCCTGATCTTCAGAGGAGCCTGCAGGTAGGTGCCTCCTGGAGCAGGGAAAGCTCAGCACATCCGAGCAGCAAGCACAAAGCCGGCCGTAGGGGCAGGTCAGGCTTCTGCGTGTTTCTAGGCACAGTCGTGTCATCAGAAGAGCCAGGGTTTTGCTCCTTGTTTAAAACACAGCAACTGGCCCGCTGAGGTGGCAGGAGGGCAGTGCGGTCAGCTCGCTCACTCACTCACACGCACCCGTACTCGTACCACACGGTCTGCTGCTCCCCCTGCGGCTCCGCAGCACTGGCTGAGCTGCTCCCTCCCCTCAGCGGCTCCTCCACGGGCCCAGCGGCGCCCTCGGGCAGCTTGCCCGGGGCCCTGCCATGCTGCGCATCGCCCTGCCCTTGGCCCGGGGAAGGGCTTCCCTCCGCACTGCTGGGACCGGCTCTGGCGGGGCTCAGGGCGGCCGCCTCCCCAGAGCGCAGGGCCGACCTGGGCCTGACTTTAGCGGGGGTGTGCGGGGCCGATGAGTAGTGCTGCCCTGCGCTCCCTCGCTCCTGCTGCTGCGCGTTCAGGCTGCAGGTGGATGCTGCGGGCGACACCGAGAACTGATGGAAGGAGAGTGGCCGCTCGTCCTTGGGCGGCGCCAGCGAGAGGCGCCGGGCATCGAGCTGCCGGCAGCGCGGCTCAGCGGGCACCGCGGGCCCGGCCACGTTGGCGGAGCGCGGCCTCTCCCGCAGGGCGACCGCGGCGCCGGCCGGCACGGGCAGCCGGGAGACCGGGCCGCCCCCGTCCCTGGCTCCCCGCAGCTCCGCTGCCGCCGGCGGGGGGCTCTCCTGGCCGTAGGTGTCGGGGCCGCTGGCGCGCAGCAGGTCTGCGGAGGCCAAGCTGAAGGCCCTGCTCAGCGAGGTGCTCCGGCGGCCTGTGCTGCCCGGCTGCTGCGGCTGCGCTGCCTGCCGCGCCGCGGCGGCCGCCTGGGGGCCCGCGGGACGCTCCCGCTCCCCCTCGCTGAGGCCCGGCTTCCCGCAGCCGCTCCCAGCCTTCGGCACGCTTCCTTCTTCGCTGGCCGGGGCCGCCTTGGCAGCCGCACAAAGGTGACTAGCGGGCACCCTCACAGCCTCCTTGCGGGATGAGGGAACCAGCAGGTTTCCGGTGGCCGAAGGCTCGTTTGGCTTCCTACAATAACCACTCAGCAAATCATCCCGGCTACAGGAGGGGTCCTGGTGTGAGAAAATATGCAAGTGACATTTAATTAATGATGTTTCTGTGTAAAGAATCAAACAGACCTTAGTGGTCAAACAATTTTCTCTTCCACTCATTTTACCCTAAGAAGACCAAAATACAACTGTGGATTTCATATCTAAAAGCTGTGAGCAACAGATAAAAATACTTAAAATGGATATATAACCAAATCAGAGAGTTACATGCTCATCATAATTAGTTTGTGACAGGCATGTTTGCCAGATTAATTGTCATAAATTAAAAGAAAACATCTCAATAACAAATTGGGCAGCGGCTCTTTTGCTTCCTTTGACATCTGCCATTGTCACTCTGGTATCAATGCCATATTAATGGCACCTGCCATTAGTATCAGCAGATATCAGAGATGGGCTGTCATTTTCAAGGATGCAGTTCCTCTGGATAACACCCCACTGGGACATCAGGGATGGAACAGAATACCCATTAATGTGCTAGAAAGATTAATTGCTTCTTCATTTCTTCCTCCCTCTGTCAACATACTACATCTGTCGAAGGCTGCACGCGCAATGCACTGAAACACAAAAAATAATTACAAAGAATGGGAGAAATAATTGTTTGACCAGAATTAACTAGAAAATTTCCAAGTCAGACAGTTATCCTGGCTGTGAAAGAAACGTACACGGAAAGTTGCACGGGGATGGTCCATGCAACCCATCAGCTGTCACTGTTAGTGCGTCCGTGCTGGGAGCAGTTAATGGGCACGTGGTCTGTATGAACAACGTGCTGAAAGCAGCTCATGACGTTTATTCCTCCCCTCTTCTCCAGGCAGCATGCTAAGGCCCAAAATACTCATTTCGCTCAAGTTCCAAAGTTTCTTCCAGTCACAAAACTCAGTTTGCTGGAAGCAAACGCTATCAGTGGCAACAGCAGTTAAAATACAGCCAGAAAACTCCTATGCTCGCCTAAATGTTAAAGAATTAAGGTTATTTTTATTTTCAACTGCTGTTGTGCCCATTAGCACTACGGAATTGCTAATCCTCTAAAAAAAATTAGTTTCCAGTGCTCGTTCAGAAACATATGAGCAATTAATGCAAGTGATCTGGCATTAAACTTTCAAGTAACAGCCAGGAGTTACAATGCACTTCCGAGAGGTATTAATTACGCTAGCAAAAGCTGTGGTAAGTTGGGAGCTGTTGCCTTTGGAGCAAGAAGGACGGATACCCTGGGGATATACAGTGAAGTAGATCTCCTGCTTCCTCTGCCTGCTCTGTGCCTCACGCTGGCAGGACATGAATGACTGAGGATGGATTCGAGTGACTGTGAAGACTCCTGATGGAGGGAAGGGCATAGGGAGCGGCAAGAGGGAAACAGGGCATCAGCTTCTAACAGAAATTGGTGCAATGAAATCGTTTCACTCTCATTTAAACTGCGCCGACACTGGAAAGGAACAAGGATGACAGAAAGAATGAAAATGAAGGCATGGTCATGTAGTTACAGACAAATAAACAACAAAAATTAAATATTTAACATATCTAAAAGCTAAAAAATGTACTTAGTGAGGAAAGAGGAGACATTTTAATATGGTCTGAAAGCTCAAGGACCTGAATTCAAGGTCATAACATGCTACTGTTCATTTCAATCCTACTAGTGAGGCATCCATGGAACAGGAACATCTGCTGGCTCACGCCATCGGTGGGCTGCCCTGAAGACATTAACGTGACTGATCCTGGCACCACTTCGCTGCTAAACAGCACGTCTGGGCAGTAAGTGACAAATGCCACCCAGAAAACAAACAGTTCCTTTCTGGCAAAGCGCTGCAGAGCGTGGCATATCCTTGCAGCCACTGAGCCAACAGAGCAGTGCCAGTGAGCACACAACCACACAGGATGGAAAACACACTGCAGAAGTCCTTCAGGAAGGAAAATACAACCCAAATGAAGCAAGTGTTTTCTCATTAGGACAGGTTTTTAAAAACTGCATTTTTACTTCAATTGAAAGCTACTGTTAGTTTTAATTTCTAATTACAGCTGAGAGCTGCAGCTGAGAGTTATTATTCTATGGAAAAGCGTGTACATAGTTTACCAGTTCACAGATTAGTATACCTGGAGTTTGAAACAGTTGACATGACAGCAGAGCCTCATCACAAAGAAGTCTTTGTTTCCAATAGCCTCAGCAGGCCAATATATGTTAACTGCAATCTATTACCTGACCTACTGTAACACGTAACAGAAAATGTGTGCTGTGTAAAAGTTAACACTAATTCTTGCAACTGCTTCATTCATTGAATTACTGATTTGCAAAACTTGATCACTTTCTGCAAATTCCACAGGTACTCCCCAGTTTGTGGATGCCCTCACCTCCCCAAACCAGCTCTGAACAGTTCCGCAGCACGAGACGGGCTACCCAGTGCCGCGTACTTACGCTTGGTGGGGACAGCCGGTTGCTCTCTTCCAGGAACTCCTCCAGAGTCACCATCTCGCTGCCAGGCGAGGCAGGGCGCTGCCTGCCTGCACTGGGCGGCGCCGCGGGGCTCCTCTGAGGTAAATCGTAAGAGCCGGAGCTGCTCCTGTGGAAGGAGAGCTCACGCCTACTGCTAGGGCCTAACGTGCTCGAAGCGGAGTGAAAGGAATAGCTGTCTCGGAGCAAGGCTGGTGCCTCTCTGCTTGTCACCGTATCTTCACTGCTGAGGCTCTCGGTTCTACCATGGATATGATCTGAGGAACCTGAGGAGAAGCATAGATGTCATTAAAAACACTGCTTTTCCCTCATTTTGGCTAACTTCAGAGAGATGAGCTGTATGATACAAGGTCATTTCCACACACAGTAGATAAAATCTATTTTACTACTTTCTTCTCCCACAAAACTCAACTCAAGGATAACTCTGAAAAAAAATCAGAAATAGTGAGTATCTTACAACACAAAGAATAGCACTAAGCTAAGGAATTTTATCTTATGGCTAAGTCCTCAAACATAACTGAGGAGTAGAAAGGAGCTTTGCCTTCTTTCTGTCCTATGAGGAAGGTCATTCCTCAAGTGTGAGCAGCTGCTCCTCCAAGGTACGTGGCTGTTGGCGGCCCCTGGTAAGTGAAATAGGAGGAAGGAACTAACACAGAATGAGAAATGCTCCAGCTGGACCCCTTTACTACCTCTGTGCCAGTACAAGTTCCCCCAGCCTTCGTGTGTGAATCTGCCAGGGGTAAAGCAGGAAGCATGTTCTGCCACAAAACCAAACCTGGTTTAGCCTTTAAAGACACTAGCACACCTATAGAGCATGCTGATTCCCTACACAACGCTGTGCAGAACGAACCAGAGATCTGTTTTTAGAAAATAGGAGCTCAGGTGGCCTGCAGGATGATGCCAGGCTGAGGCAAAGCTAGACTTTGCCTCTAAATTCACCCCTTGTCAGAATCTTAGATAAATATTTCCCATCAGTAGTGTTTTGATTCCTCAAGACAGCCGCGTCCAGATTACATAATCACGACAATTTCTAAACAACAGTTTTCAGATTTCTTTGAAAGGCAAAGAATATTCTGCATACAGTTCCAGGTAATTTCACTTGCTGCCTGTCAGCACTCAGCAACCGAAGCTCTAAAAGCTTTACCTTTCAAGATGAGGGGTGAACTGCTGCTGGATGCGTTTCTGCTGCTCTCTGAACTGTTTGGCCTGGACACTGAAAAACAAAACAGACGTTTAACAAGCACAGCTTGAGTTTCTTTAAATTTTCTGAAAGACTTGGCTATAAGCAACCTTCTGAAAATAGGACCTAGGTCACTTTGGTAACATTAGCGACATAACATGCACAGAATGACAAGTGTAATACACACAGGATAGCAGTGATCAGACACAAAGGAAAGCATTCCCATTTTTAAAGTCAGTTGTTCAGGAACTGCTTTTTCTCATATTTTTTGCACAAAGAATTAAGTCCTGCATTTTGCTTCTAAGTCAGCTACACACAGAATGGCACTGCTGTGCCACTGTTTGTGTCTTCTATCCCTTCCCCTCGCCAAATCTTTTACTGCTGATTCACTCCCTTTGGGAAGAAATTAACTTTTGTTCGGAAAAATAGGCATCAAATCTGCAGGGCACACATTAAAGCTACTTATGCTCTGCAAGTCAGTTTGTTTCAGCATTAGCTGTATTTTTGAAAATTTATTTTGGGAAAACATCCACATCCATTCAAAGCTTCTCAGGAGAAAAATAAACTATTTAGGTTCACATTCCCAACCTGTTTTTGTGTTACTACATCTCATTTTATTATGTTTATTTAACTAAAATGCTCCAGGACAATTCATGTGGATGCAATAAAACAAGTCTTAATGTAAAGAGCTAACACATTCTTAATGCTTCCAACTTACCATGCTGCCTGGTGCTTGAAAACTCTACCTCAGGGGACTGCTCACACAGATTATCTTCTGACTGATAGCCTAGAAAGGACACAATACTTAAACAGGCAATACTGAACACAGGAAGGCCAATCCTTCAGGTCAGTCTCCACAAATTCTTGCAGTATTAGTGGCTGAGGTGAGTGAGGGGGTTTAAGGAGGCAGGATCAAGGAGCAGCCACCCTCTAACCACAGCTATGAATCACCGGGCAGGGACCAGGGCACAAGTGACTAATACACCCTCGCAGGGTCTCTCAAGCATTACCAGCATAGGGGCACCCTGTATCTGCCAGCTGAACCACCGAGCAGGCACAGCAGGAGCCCAAACCCTCCGGAGCTCTGTGTTTTGCACATGCTTTCCCGCAGGAGCCCCGCTCGCTGCGGACGCACCTGGCGCTCGGCGCGGGGCCCTGCCCGCGGGGGTGGAGGTGCGCGGGGGCGCTCCCGCCGCAGGCCGGCCGCCCGGCTCCACGCTGCCCGGCTTCGCCGCGCGCTCCGCCGCGCCCTCCGCGGCGCCGCTGCTGCCCCCGTGGTGCCAGCTCCTCTTCTGCTTCGCGTCCGACAGCCCTGAGGGAGTGAGGCGATGCCGAGCAGCATAAGGGGAGCTCAAGTTATCCACCCATATAAACACGACAAGCAGGCACAGAGAAACTGCACGACAGAGGCGCTACTTTTGCAAGCTTTTCCATCAACAGTTCAGTAACGGGTAGGAAATTTCTGCCACCAGGTTTTCAATCGTGTGCTCTTAGAAAGGTGTGGGAGTGACAAGGGCTGCTTAGTGCCAGTGGGAAGGTTGATATTATACATGCAACAGCAACCGTGAAAGGAGGAAGAAAAGGAACAGAGATGTGAATGCAGAAAATATAATTGAGGTGTGAAATTTCTTTAACATTGTACCTTGCAGGCACATTTTATGAGCACTTACTTTAGGGATTAAATAGAATAAGGAAACAGTAACAAGAGTTACACACTCAAAGAGAAATAGTCATGATTTGGAAATTATCTAACATGATTGACATACTAAGCAAATTGCTTTCCACTTTACATCTTTGCTGTGACAAGAACTCATTCTCTTGCTCCTCTTAGGATGTTTTTTCCTTGTGATGAGGCAGAGGAAATTTTCTTATATTTTGTGTGTGCCTTCAAATGTTAGATACCAAGTGAAGAAATTAAAGAATTTACTATAGAAAACAACCTTAATGAGATGCAAGATACTAGTTTCCTATAAAATTCTTTGGCAAAGATGGGCAATGAATATTAATTAATTGCTGAAAACAAGCAGAGTACACTGATCAAGACAGACATGTAGAAACAAAACACAAACAGTTTAGTTGGAAGCACAGAGCAGCAGCAAAGCTGTATTAGAGAAAATGGACCAAGTTACTGTTGACTTTGATGACTTTTGGAAACCTCTTCAGAAACAAGGTCTGCTCCTACAGTCTGAGAGCCCGTAGCACAAGGTCTGCTCTAAAATCCTATCTCTAAAAACCCCTGGATGGGTGTCTGCATCCTCGGGGATGCCATGGAGGAAGCACGGGCAGAGTCTGAGCTGCCTGGTGCACGGGGCTTCTCCGACTCCCTGGGGACTGAGCTGCACTTTCCTTTATTCTTCTCCCCTCCAAATCCTCTCAAAATCAGAACAACAAAACCTGGAGCCTGATGCTCAATCCAAGATGAATTTTCATGGTTGGAATTGTAAAGTCTCTCTAATTACCAGCTTAGAATTCGAGTATCAAAATAGCTTGTGGAAAAGATTTTTTTCAAGCAGCTTCCACTCTACATTCACAGCTAGATGGTTTGAAAGCCAACAAGGATGTTAAAAACTTGACATTTTTACATTTAGCTCCAGAGAATACTGGAAGCTTCTCTGCTATTTGAAAGTGCTTCTGTTAGGTTTGCAGGTCAGCAGGGCTAGAACATTGTAGAAAGCAGAGCAAGAGCCAGTTCAACATTTAACTGGACACAATGCAAGTAGTGACTGCAAGAAAATACTCAAGCGGTAGCAATTGCACTTACTTACAACATGCACCACAGCCAATATACATACGCAAACTGTCTGCCATGAGGTCCCCTATGTGTGCTGCATTGAAGACATGATCCACAGTGTGCAATAAGGATTCATCTTCTACAGGAAAACTTAAGTCCATGTTCACTAATCTGTGCTTTTATTTAGAGTATTGTAAAGGCATGCTGAGTGTTTCCTATTAGGTGTGTGTTGTTTCAAGGTACGTGGGATTGTTTTTATTTAAAACATTTGTTAGAAATAAAGATAAATGCTAAAGAAAAGTGTTAGAAATCTCCCAATTCCGAGAAAGAAAGAGGTTCATTAGGAGAGGATGGGATGTCGGAAGAAGACCAGAACCGCAGTCGATTAGAAAGAGATTGATGATTCGATGGAGACTTAGGAGTCTTTTCTTTATCCTTGATTTTGCTTCTCAAAAAGGCAATCTTTTTGCGTTGAGCAGCTAAATTGTTATCACCCAGGTATCACAAAAAGAAGAAAAAAAGGGACAAAATGTAAATAAAATGTAAATGTTTAAAAGCAGATAAAGAGAACATAACTAGTGAAAAATGAAACAGGCTAAACGGAGACTAACACACAACTTAGGAGACTCACGTTAACGCTCAGTACAATAGATATAAACAACTCCATTATGAACTGTAAAATCTCCACAAATATATTTGTATTGGAAAAAAAAAGCTTGGCTACTTAGTGTAGCTTTCAATATGTTGGAACGTACTCCAATATACTGAAATTTCCTCGATGTCCTCTAGGCTTTAACACTGATACTCATCACCTCAACATAATCAACTTTCATATTAAAACGAAAAAGATGATGCCCTCAGAGATATTCCTGCTCTCTCTGGTGCTCAGTGAGGGTCTGGTTCTGGGGAAACAGTCCTGCATTCCCAGGGGGAAACTCTGGATGCATGTTGAACATATTCAACATCTCCTGGAATTGTATAGCTGATTTAAGACATGCATTTTATTTGAAGTGAAGAAACAGGACGGAGAAAAGGGAATTAAAAAAATCAAAAACCCCAAATCAGAAAAACAAGACAAAAACAACCACCAAATCAAACCCACAATGAAGCAAACTCAACCCTAAACCAAGTGTACACTTGAAGGTGACACCAGTTCTATCCTCCTCTCCTGTCGTCATCACTTCCCAACAAGAAATAGACATGTTAGTAAGGACTAAGCTCAAAACTACTAGCTTAAAAACAATCCTAGAGGACAAAAGGTTGTAGAGAGAGACTGACAGATCACTCTCTATCGAGAGCCATGGTGACAGAATGAAGTGAAACTTGGGGTATATTTCATCATCCCTAAAGTTCACACCTTGATTATTTGTATTTTATCATAAATTCTTCCTTCTGTTGTTCTTATACTGTCCCAAAAATCATTTATGCACTTCGCATTAAGAAATTCTTAATTCAGTTCCAGTCAAAACACCGTATCAACCATCAAAATAATTAAAAGATTTTTATAAATTAGCATTTTCCAAGTTATTTCTTTTCTGTGTGCGCCATCTCCTGGCAGTGGCTGTAAGACCAGCTACTACCCACTTGAAGAACAGATGTAAATGAACTGTAGTGTTACCTGGACCAGCTTAAATTGCCTTGTTGCAAAGCCACTGTAAATGAAATACCCCATGTATTTATTCAACAACTTTCAATAAATTCAGACAAATTATGGAACTATGTACAAAAGCAGAAGGTTCATAATGCAGATAAAAAGGAACATCTCTCCCTGACTAATTACTAAAAAATAACACGATTGAGTACCAACATATTCTATATATTACCCTTTACAAAAAATAAACTGTCCAGCCTGTGAATCTAAGCTGGGTCTCTCTTACCTTTGTTGGAAGGAGCCCCGGGGTTCTCTCTCTCTTCCATGGAGTTGGACCCCTGAGAGGTGTTATCCTGTCCATCCTGCTGGTGTTTCAGTTTCTGGGAGGCAGATGGGGAGGCTACTGTTTCTGGGGATTCGGGATGCCAGGCAGAACTCTCTGCTGACGGTTTCAACCGCTCCCTTGTAGTCTCTTTCTTTGGCTTGATTAATTTGACTAAGGCTTTGGCTCCAATCCAGTGGTTTTTCCTGATAAAGTAGGTTTTATGAATGGCATCATTAAATGCCTCAAAAAATATTCCCTAAAGTTTGCAACTTTGGTAAAGCCGTTCTACCTTTTCATTTTTTTATTCTATCATGAATTGTTTGGAAAGATGCAGCACAAATTTCACAGAGCTTGGGATCTGTTTTTCTCCCAATGTCAAAATTATTTTACAGAGACATTATAGCAGCAAGCAAAATGCGAGGGACAGCTTCCCTACCACTGCTAGAAATCAGAACTATGGACCCACACAAGACATTTCCACAGTAGAAAAAGCTCCACTACCTGAACAGACTAAGAAGGGAAAATATTGAAGTTGCTTTAGAGACAAATTCTTCTCTTTGCTAAGGGTATCGATAAGAATCACGTATGATGGGATTAACCGGGCTATTAATTATCTTTAATTTCATCATTTTAAAGTCTCTTCTCTCTGATGGACTCTTTTTTTCTCTTTTAAATAGCAGCTCTCCAAGCTCTGTTTCTGCTTAGTGTCCCATCATTGCTTAGGGTTGCTAACCTAGCACGCTGGCAATGTGTATTTTGGGTTTTTTTGTGTGCTCAAACTACCCTGGGTGTGAGTAGGCAGAAGCAGGGCCACTTACTGCTCAGCAGCCTCTCACAGCTGCTCTCCTCAGTTAACTCCGAGCAAGAGGCAGCAACTGACCATACATATGCCAAGGCTCTAGTGACAACGCTCAATAGTTGCCAGCAGGCCATTATTTTGGCAGGTAGCAGTTTCATATAATGGCCAGTCTGGTCATTGTGATGAACCAATGAGGGATGACACTAATTATCATGACCAATTGGCTCTCTTCTAATTAACACTGCTAAATTCTGATATAAAAACATCCATGTATGGACTGCTCTACATCAACACAGGCTAAAGCATGACTGCTGCTTTAGTGATGGGTCTCCAGAATGACAGTGGAGATACCACCATTTGTCCTTATTTGAGGCAGAATTTCAATTACCTCTAGTTATGAGGAATCCCTTCTCACCCACAGAAATTGGCACATCAACAGTACACAGGAACCCAAAGGAAACTTACTTTTTTGGAGTAGGATCATAAAACTTATACTGATCCATTATCTTCTCTTCAAGCTTTTCCTTGTGTCTCCTTAAAGCATTTAATTTATCACTGTCAAAGGGAAAAGCACATTTTGAACAACCCACATACAGTTAAGTATGATCGAAACCCTGAAAGCCAGAGGTCCTAAGGAAAAAAAATGAACTATTTTCCTGTTATGAAGTCCGTATGTAAGCCTCAGAATCCCACTGAGCCCATTCACTGCCTGTTTAGAGAAGGCCAAAGTAAAACCTCTCAAACCTGCTGATGAGTGACATCTTGTTCAGTCAGCATAAAACAGTGGAATAAAAATATATTTAGGTTAGATTAGTTGCAAATATTCCTCCTCCCACACTTTTTTTGAGACTGACAGATGTCAAGGTTATTATTATTATTATTATTATTTTAATTTGCTTGCTGATTCTTCATCTTCACTTCCAGATCACTGACAAATTTCGTAGGGGTTATGATTCTTTCTTGTTTAGTTTGAACTTTTTCTCTCTGTGATAACTGATTATAAATCACTGTGATAACTGATTATAAATTTATTATTTATAAATCAATAACATTTTATCTTTTAAAAACTACTCTGGTCTCCTGCGAACAGTGTCAAAGCACTTTCAGAAGTGGCATGTACACTTACTCATTTTTATTCACTGATTTATTAACATCAGAGAGGATGACAGCAATCCCATAAGCAAGAAGTTTCTCTGAGCCAAGGAGCAGAGCTCATGTGTTGTGAACACAGAACTATCAAACACCTGCATAAACATATTTGGAGTATGTTTGAGCCATAATCTGTTGCTTTCAGTAAACAATTTCTAACACTCTGTGTTATCCAATACTGAAATAAAATCCTGTCTGTAATTCCCATACCATTCTGAGGTGCTTGGACTAAAACTCTTACTAATACAGAGAAAGAAGTGTATTCCTAAGAGAAATTCACTGTAGTGAAACAGGATTCTTTGCCAATAGACAATAGATTTTTTAAAAAAAGAGTCTATTACATGTGCCACCTGTGATTCAGGAAGACAGGTATGTGTTGAAACTTAAATCCTTTAGAACATGGAAGGAAATACAAATGATCAAAACTAAAAGTTTAATTGTACTTCTCCAGTAATCAAATAGATAAAATGACTTTGGTAAGTGGTTTTAGCATTCCATTTTTAAGTTTTCCACATTGGCTCATCCATGTTACTTGAAAAGAGCTGTGAATGAGGAGTGCTGTTCAGGTGTCTCCTGAACATCCTTTGTAATAAGCAATGCAAAGGAATTACCCAGCTTCTGTCCTGTACATAGATATCCTGAACATCCCCTCTCCCTGCCAAGGCATCAGCTAGACCTACCAGTGTCCAACCTGTCTTCCTAACTCCTCATATACTACTAACTTGGCATATTTACCTATAAAGTTTCTTTAGATTTCACAAACTAAGTCTCTTATTTTCTTACATGTACTGTTTCTGCTCCTCATGATACTGCTCCTTGTTCTCCATGTTCTGCTCCAGCAACATCTGATTCTGCTGGCTCAGCATCTGGATCTGACTCAGGAGATGATGGTTCTCTTCTTCCAGATTTCCCTTCAGCCGTGACAGCAGCTGTTAAACATGAAGACAGATGAATCTCTTCTCTGCAACTGAGTTCCCAGGAAACATATTAAGCTAACGCCATAACAGAACAACCTGGGATACAAACTGCTAAATTTTTAAGTAAATGGGGGTGCCAATATGATTGTATACCAAGAATTACTTTTACAAAGTGCCCAAAACTTTACATCCTAGCAGGAATCTAACAGCCCACGTGCTTAGAGTGACTCACCTCACAGTGGTTATCCAGCTTTGTCAGCGAGATGTCCATGGACTGGTGCTGTTCTTTGAGCTCATCGTAGCGAGCCTGCCAACGATTCAGCTCTAGCTGAGAGTTGTTCAAGGAAGTTTTCAGCTCCTTCGTGTGTGAATGCAGCCCTTCATACTCTGCCTTTAATTGGCTGTGCAAGAAATTCACCCTGAACATGAAGGAGGACACATGTTTAGGAAGAATACCTCCCAAGACCTCGCATTCCAAAGGTCACATCTTCAGTGTGCAACCCTCATGAAATCTAAAGATTTCTAAGCTTTCTAAGTTTAAAAATTTATTACTGAGCAGATGATAAATGCTATAGAGAAGTAACAACAGCATTATAAAATATACCAGATCTACAAGACAATTCAAAGAACAATATATGGAACATGTTTGATACTTCCTCAATGTGTAGGACATGACAGATTTCTGAGGCACATGACAGATTTCTGAGGCACAGAACCTTTTTAAAGTCACCTTTATCGTGCATAAAGAATATTCCGAAAATTATTTGTCTGATGTATGAAATTTGAGGGGGTCCTGCACTGCAAGATATTATAATACCTTGCAAACGGTAGGATTCTTTTAAACTTCTCGGTAAATTAAATAAAAACTATTCCTGAAGACAAATAATTAAATAAATGTTATAAAAAACAGTAAACCTCTTCCAGCACTGCAACAACTTCTCTTGACACCATTGGGGGGGGGGGGGGAAGACCCCAGCTAAGAACAGCAAGGGCATTTGCAAAGCTGCAGTGCTCTACAGCACATTGCAATTGGAGCAGTGTAAGAAACTGTTGTGACTGAACTTAACAGGTGATTTTTAAATGTGATTCAATCTGACATTGTCTGGTCATGACTTTGGCACCTTACTCGTTCCAAAACTTTTCTTGAAGCATCTTTGTAGTATCCAGAGTGGGACTGAACTGGTCAAAAGGCCAAGTGCCCCACCAGGGACGTGGGCCTGGGTGTTACGTTTTACTCTGTTATGAGCAGACATAACAAAAGTATCTTTTAAGCATTAAAAAGTGACAATTTTCTCTGGACACTGTTTCTACAGTAGAAAATAAACAGTAATATTAATTAGAAGAATTACAGCATGCTCTGGGATGGAGGGCGGGGAACACATACACACACAGAAGTTTTTCTTGAGAGGAGGAAAACTGAGTAGAAATCACTTCACAGAGCCTGAGATCTTGGCAAGCCTTGGGTATTTGTAGTTGCATTTAAGACAGCTCCTGCAAATACATGCTTGCAGAAACACAGAGCTTGCAAACTGAACCACAAGTGACAGCTTATCTTGAGCGAACCAAAGTCCCAGAATCAGTACACGCATGAAGCACTGAATTTTCATTGACAGTATCCATGAAGTTGCTTATCTACAATGTGTTAAACAACTGAATTAATAAAACAGATGTTGGGAGAAGTTTATAGATATCCTGAAGGTGTAGTAGCAACTGAAGAAAACAACCGTGTATTTTGAGTAACTTAGCTTTTAAGAAGGTAGCAATTTAAGACAAATTTGGCAAGGATGCCATACCTGTCAAGTTCCTCCCTCAACTTCTGATTTTCCCCACTGGTTATTGCATTTGTTCTCCTTTCTTGTTGCAGAACTTCCCTCTCAGTTTTTAAAACTATTTCCAGCTCTTCCAGTTCTGCCTTATGCTTCATTAAGCTGTTGTACCTACAAGAGAAGGGTGATCAAACGCTTGCCTTTCATCCATACATTTTTCCTTCTTCTAATTGAAGATCATTTTAACAGATGACATTTCAACAAACTCATTTCTGATGAAATTTCTATTTTCTGTGTGTTTAGTTTTGTATAGATTTGTGCGGTTGAAAGTGCACCAAGACAGAGGACACGGCAATGCTTGAAAAGTTATAATGTTCACAGATTCACAGAATATTTAAGGTTGGAAGGGACCTCTACAGATCATCTAGTCCAACCTTCCTGCTCAAGCAGGCACACCTAGAGCATGTGGCACAGGGTGGCATCCAGGCGGGTTTTGAAGACCTCCAGAGTAGGAGACTCCACAACCTCCCTGGGCAGCCTGTTCCACTGCTCTGTCACCCTAACAGTAAAGAAGTTGCTCCTCACCTGGAGACGGAACTTCTTGTGCTTCAGCTTGTGGCCATTACCCCTCGTCCTATCGCTGGCCACCAGTGAGAACAGCYTGTCCCCTTCCTCCCTGCATTCTCCCTTCCTGAACTTATACATATTAATCATATCCCCTCTGAGCCGTCTCTTCGCCAGAGAAAACAGGCCCAGCTCACTCAACCTCTCTTCATACGAGAGATGTTCCATTCCCTTAATCATCCTGGTTGCCCTTCTCTGGACCCTCTCCAGAAGCTCCACGTCCCTCCTATACTGGGGTGCCCAGAACTGAACACAGTACTCCAGGTGCGGCCTCACCAGAGCTGAGCAGAGGGGCAGGATCCCCTCCCTTGACCTGCTGACAACACTCCTCCTGATGCAGGCCAGGATCCCATTGGCCTTCTTGGCCACGAGGGCACACTGCTCACTCATGGTTAACAGTGTCAACCAGGACTCCCAGGTCCCTCTCCGTGGAGGTGCTTTCCAGCAGGTCCACCCCTAATCTGTACTGAATAATGTTGTTTGCACCTGCTCCACCAGCCACTGCTGGATGTTTTAGCAGAGGTGAACGCAGAGCAGAGACAGTAGCTCCGCGGCCAGTCAAACCTCAAAACAAAAGGAAAGGCAAAAACTGCATCACGCAGCACGTTGGCTCCTGCCAACTTGTTTTTCTTTCAGGCTACCATTCCCTTCATCCCATTTTACAGCTCGTCCCAAATTCCAGTCCATTGAATGGCCACACAGAAAAGTACCTGTCTCCCAGACAAAAACTGCCGTTTTCTATTCATGCCCAGTGGTAGCAGTGGAGTTTAATTAACCTTATTTATTTGTTTTCCTCCCTCATTCAGCTCCAGGACATTTCAAATTCAATGTCTGCACAACAAATGGAAGAACCTAAAAGAAGAGGAAGGTTTCAAATCCAACTCCCAGAAGGTTATTCAAGCAGGACTTTGTGCCAGTCCAGAGTTTGGGAAGACCAACTCCGCAGTCAACGCCTTGGCAGAGATTACCCTGGCCCTTTCTGCAGAAACTCTGCTGTTGATTCCTTCATCACTTCCCTTTGATAGGACTCCTCTCTTTACTTTTACTCAACCCAAGCCTTGTTATTTCTTTTACTGAGACCTGCTGCTTAGGAGGAAGCAAGCAGTTCATTGCTGCATCCCCTTTCACAGCTTGGCCCAGCTCCACATGCTGCCCTGGAGCAGGGCAACTCCTGTATTGGATCACAGCTGCTCCCTTCCACACTGGAGGACAGAAGCAAAACTGGAGACAGTCTGCAGGAATGTGGTGCTCCTGTACTGCTGGAGCCCCAGCGAAATCCCTAAGCAAAATCTACTTGCAGTCCAGGTTCAGCTGGGAGGTTATCATTTGACCAGGATTTACACAACCTGACGAGCATGAACTTGTCAGGTTGTGGAAATCCTGGTCAGTGAGAGGTTGTGTAACTCCCTGCAGTGAGAGGCTTCACTTCTGGGCAAGGTTACCCAGCCCACGGGCTATTCAACATTCATGCTCACTCCGCTTCTCTAGAGGCAAATGAGAACAGCATTATAAACGTTTCCTTATAGATGCTAATAAAAAATTTTGGCTCGGATCCCATTCATTCCTGGACTTGAACAGCCATGTTTTTCTTTACTCCTGTTCCAACTGTGTTTTTTGGCTTTCATTCCCTCTACTGCTCCGTTTGGAAACAGAGCGAGGGTAGATATTTGTGACTGAGAAAATTTAAAAAATGTTCAACTATGATAGGAAGCATGTGGCAGAAGGAGTCCATAAATATGATTCTCTGGCAGCACTGCAAACATCATAACGCAAGTCCCTGCAAAACATAACCCTGAACAGCAGGGACTCTCCTTCTCCAGGAGGACGAGTTCTTCCCATGTTTGTGCAGGATTACAGACTTCTTCAGAGCAAGTCAAAGAAATGCCCAAGGCTCTGCCACTCAACCATAGCTAGGAAGTTATTATTTCCCCTTAGTAACTTGCAATATTCAAAGCAATTTCAAAAGGCAGGCAGAATAGCCCAGCTCTGCTCTGCTAAATGAGGCAGCCAACCAAATACCACAAAGCCAGAGCCATTAATGGCAAACAGCTCTATACTAACTTGCTTTTTCTTGCTAAGTCAAACCCACATGCATGCAGTTTGCTGGGCTATGAGAGGCCATTTCACTACAGCTACACACAGCCTACTACTAAAGCCCCAGTGCAGTATTAAAATGATACAGCCAGAGTTGCAGGAGGTTCAGTGAAGCTGCCCAAGATGCAGAAAAGGCCCACGGTATCAGAGGCATCACCAGGAGCAGCACAAGCCTGGCTGCACACACCACGAGCCAGCCACAACTAACTCCAGCTGCTGGGGAGTTTCTACTCAAGCTGCAGCCACAGGCTCCTGCAGGAGCACAGTCCTGCCCTAAGCGACAGACTGTGACTGAACACGCTGTCACCAACCTGGAAAAACAGATTTCTGCGGAGCTGGGAGAAACAAAGCCCATCTTGCTCAGGCCCTGCACAGCAGCTGCCCAGCTGCGCTGGGAACATTTAGACGGTGGTGGATTTCAGCTGAAGGTGAGTGAGAGATGGCAGCTTACGACCTGAATGCCACCGAGTGGCAGAGCAACATGAACAGTTCTCTTCCAGCCGCTTTTCAAGCTTACTCCCCTCCTCTGCCTTCCTCAGCCAGCTGAACACAGACAGCACATTGAAGGTAGTGGCGTGAAGTAATTTCTCCCTTTTTTATGGCAGTCAAATGGAGATGCAAGCTGTCCTTGGACAAATCACCATGACAAGCATCTTTCAGACTGACCTGCTGAGGAGGACACTTCACTCTTGGAACTGCCAAAAATGAGCCTGCTCAGAGCATACAAAGCTCACCATCTGCTCCCCTGCAACCTTTCCCACAGGCAGTCACACCTCACTAAGAGAGAATCCACACTGTTAATGTTCACAGGAGTGGTCTGAGCAATTACCACTAGAGAACCTATTTTTCAGAAAAGCACTGCTTTCTTACTCTACGACTCTTTAATAAGTGGTACTCATCAAGAAAAGAGGGAATCCAGCAAACTGCACCTACACATTGCAGTGTGATAGTCTGAAGCAAAGTCTGCATCAATGACAACCATTAATCAGTCTGAGTCTCCTTGGTAAGCACAGACAGCATCTGTGTAATCACTTACGAGCTCATTATTTAGTTGACAGCCAAGCAGCTGTCCTGACAAGCAGCCTCAGTGGCTATTTTCATCACAGCAGGTTTAAGTTCTGTACTTTGTCAGAAGCTACTGCACACTATACTGCCAGTTCCCTTGTGCTTGGGGAAGTCTAGCTTGGACTTGTTCTTGACCATTGACCCAAGTTTTTGGGTAAAATAACTGAACTGGTTAAAAAAAAGGTTGTGATGGGTAGGTGGCCCCTACATAGTAATGTGTCGTCGATACTGTTACATTCAAACACAACTGTCAGAAAGTGACACTGACTAGAAACTAAACAATAAATTGACTAACCCGATTAATCCAATTTCAGAGTTTGATTGAAAGTCTTGTTTGGTTCTCACCAATCTAAACTTTTGTTTCAATCTAAGAAGTGAGAACTCACAGGTTAGAAACACGCAGGCTTTCAAGTATTTTCATCTAATCTCCTAACTACAACAAAAATGAGAAGACACTTAGATGCTTCATCAAGATAACAGCTTACTACAATAAAATGGTATTTTTGGTTTATAATCAGAGATCAAGGTTTGAGACTACCACATTCTGGCTATGCAACCTCCCTGGGCATTGAACAGTGAGCATACCTCTCACCCAGACCTTTATGCTCCAGATCCAGGTTTTTGTGTAAGGCTTTCAGGCAGCTGTGCTGGTTTATTAGCATTTCATACTCTGCGGACTGCCGCTCATGCAGTGAAGCAAGGTGTTCATGATCCTGAAGCAACGATTCATATTCAGCTTTCAACTGCTCCTTCTGTTTCAACAGATTTTCATTCTCATTCTCCTTGGCTGTCTGCTGATTTTGGAGTAAAGCATTCTGGGCCATCAGCGAGGCACTCTGCGAGCTGAGGGTTGAATTTTCTACCTAAAGTTTCTCAAATAAAAATGAGTATATTTATTTACACTTTTCAATACAGGTAACAATCACGTACTAACAGTTTACATCTGTATGCAATTAAACAAGGACACATCTATCACTTTCTTGACTGAGAAGATTTATGGACGTTGGGCCATTGCTTCTGCACAGCAATACGCACATTACAAAGTCACCCTAGCAAGGGCTTGACATCCACCTGGCTCACCTCCAAACTGTAATGACACTTACACTGGCATATGCTCTTCAGTCTGAACACTAAGGTGAGCTGAAACACAGGCAATCCAACTATAGTTGGATGCTTGTGCATAACAAAGAAAACTTATTAAATTCAACTAAACACAAGAGAACGAAAAACTGTGTGTGGGAGCAGCATTCCTAATAAGATTTGCCATAGATACACAGCGCATACACTTAAACTACCTTCTTCATAAAGGTAAATTGAGATAGTAGCTGAAGAGCCATTTTTCCCCTAGACTGGAGAAACTCATATCTCAAATGAAGCTCCACTTTACAGCCTTTATGAACTCCGCTTTATCAGTCACAGTTTCTTTGTCAGCTCTCTCTCTGCACACAACTATAATGAAATCCAGTCTACTGGCACAAAAGTGCAGGGTTGCTCTGACCTGCAGTTTAGCTGTCTGCGTCTGCAGAGAAGTGTTATGTTCCTGGAGAAAGACATTTTGCTTCTGTAGTGTCAGGATCTGACTGTTGAAGGAGACATTCTGCATTTCCAAATGCTTCAGCTGTTCTTTAAGCAGCTGCTTCTCAGTATGCAGGGCAGCATTCTAAAAGAGAGATGGGATTGACAGGAGGTAATAGGAAAAAAAATGAAACAGCTGTTCTGATCATTTGGAGTCCTATCAAAGATGAGAACTAATTAGCAATGATCCTTCTGCAACAAATGTACATGAGGAAATTCTTCTCCGCATTAAAGGAAGGTAGAACAGAAACTAAATACAAAGTCCCTCCCCGAAAGACATACTCTACAAGACAGACAATTAAAGTCTCATGTGGCCTTAAGAGATGACCGAAGAACCTGGCAGACTTAAGAGCTCAAAAAGCCCACAAGATTCTTATAGCCTTAAAAAAAACAGGTCCTAGGAATCCACTCATGGTCACACAATGGAGGTTTGAGGAATAACAGGTAACTCAAGGTGGCTTACATTCCTTTCTAATTCTATTGCCCTGTCTTTCAGTTTCAGAAGCTCCATGGTAGCTTCTCGGTGTCCCATTTCCAATTTCTCTTTCATTTGGTGATTGGGAATGAATTTCTCTGCAGAATACTTGAGGGATTTCTGAGTACACTGCCCATCCTGTTGGGCTTGCTTGAGTGCATCAAAGTCCTTTTTTACCTGTAAAGCCAACGAGAAAAACTTTACAATTGATGTAAAGTGGGATTTCGTATTAATAATGATGTAATACATATTTTCTCTTTTGCACTGTAGATATTTAAAGGAATTCAAGAACTATTATCCCTGCTTCACAAGTTGCAAAGCTGAGGCCTAGGCGAGCGAAGGAACCCCTGTCACCCGGCCTGCATTCAAGCACTCCGAGACTCAAGCTCACTGTTATTAAACAGAACATCCCTGGTGAAAAGCTTCACCTGAAATCTGCCTCAGTCTATTCTCTCATTGAAGAAAGGAGGAAAAAACACCATGGCCATGAAAAGAAAATGGGGACACAGAGACTGCATACGGTGGTTACTTAGAAATATCCTCCTGCCCTGGACCACAGCCTAAAAGTTTTGCCAAGGTGAGTGCTATTATTTTGCAATGGGACAGGACCGTAATCAAATCAAACAGCCTTTGAGGTAGCTTGTTTGCAGTGAGAAAAGAGATGCATAAGACTTACTCCTACTGAACAAAAAGTATGTGAATGTGCAGAACTATATTGAGAATATGTAATATGTAGTTCACTTCTTACCATATTTAGCTCATTTTGTAACTGCTGATTCAAGTTCAAAGAGTCTTTCACTTGAGCTTCCAACATTGCAATCTTTTCCTCTTTAACAACTACTGCTGTTTTTAGTGCTGATTCAGTTTTGCTTTCCAGAATCTTGTATTTTCTGAACAGAGAGAAAAAAAAAATCCAACATCTGCCACTAGGTTATGAGGCACCGTTCAGAGAGCAGACTTTGCCTTCATTCATTGTAAATCATCATATGTTACATTATGTGCGTTTGCTTCTTCAGGAACAGAAATTCCAATCAATTTTGGTAGAGGTAACACCTACATGGTTCTACAGGAACATACAAAGCTACATAATTTAAAAGAAAATAAGGTGTTTTTTTTCTATTCTGACTTTAATTACACTATAGATATTCCTTCTCATGTCTGTTCGGTATATTCCTTATGGGGATAAAAAAACTGCAATCAGCCCCATTTTTCTCCCTAGAAAGCATATGCTTATCTGAGTCATATCAAGAGGCCTACATGCTCAGAAGTTGTTGGGCTTGTTTTGTTAATGACTATGAGATTTGCCATCAGGAATGTCTTCAGTAACACCCATGCCTGCATTAACAGCTGGCTGGATCACCACTATATCTGAAGGAGAGCAGTCAGGTACTGTTCTTGCTTATAAAGAGAAGAACAGGAGGAGTATACACAGTGGTCACTGCAGTGAGCTACCTAGCAGCTCTACAGGCAAGTATGATAATACTAGCTGGCATGCAGAGAGATGGAAGGCCATTTTTTCCTACTTTCAGTCTTTCCTAGAAAACGTTTGCTAATCTTGCTGGATATCGCCATGCCTGCTACAAAAAATTGGCTGTGTGTTCAAAATTGCTAAGAGTAAATGCAGTTAAACAGGGAACGACAGCTCACGTGTCATCGTTGCCGTTGTCATCCTGCAGCAGCAGCTCTTTGTTCAATCCTATCTTCTCCAGCTCCTGGCTCAGTTTGTCCAGGTCACTAGACAACTGCTGACTCTTCAGCTTCTCTAGGACCAAATCCTGTAACACCACCAAGATGATTAGTTGCCATGAAAAGGACAGTGACAACTACCTAACACTGGTATTTTTCAAACTGAGGAGTATTAAAAAAAGGCACTACATATAATTCTAGTCCCAAGAAGGCCAGGGAAAATTTTTCATCACCTCAGCTCAGTGCAGAATTTAAATGACTCTTTTGACAGTTTACTCAACACGAGCCTAAGGAATGCTTGTTTTGGCCTCTCTTGTACACTGTACTGCATTTCTTGAGCCATGCTGCCATCCTGGCTCCCCCGCCAGAGGATGGGCTATGCTCGCCAGAGGATGCAGCACCAGCAGAGGGAGTTTCCACTGCTCCCAGCAACTACCAAAAGGCACAGCCTGCGTTTTACACTGTTAAAATATAACACATCAGGCTGTGCATATGCACACACAGCCCAGGGTCACAGGGCTTCCCTCTGCCAAGTTTCCTGAGATAACGTGGTTAGATTTGTTGCTGAGAGACTTAAACATTTTCACAATTCGCTCTGAGTTTTTAACAGAGGAAAATTACTGGCATAGTTCAACAAGCACAATTACACTGCTGCAGTGTAATTGGGTAAATCATGGTATGCTTTAATTTTGGGGAGGTGCACATTCAACGGCAACACTATCCTGTAATGCCTGCTAAGGCTATGAAGATCTCCTAAGTCATAGATTAAACAGTTATGGAACAGATAGGTCTTGGCAGAGGAAAATAATATAGCACAGTATGTAAACAGTAATGGTATTTTGCTTACCTCTCTCAATGTAGCTAGTGTTCTTTTATCAATTGTAACTTGCTTTATGAGGTCTTTGTTGTCCTTTTCAAATTCTTTCAGCTTATTAGATGAATCTCTGAATCGAGCAATTTCCTTTTCTAGTGTCTTGTTTTCCTTCTCAGCAACTGCCAGCTTTACTGTGCTATCATCCAAAATAGCATCTTTCAGCTCCACTTGCTGCCAAAGCCGCTTTGTTTCTTTCTCTAGCATTTTTTTGTCTTTCTCCAGCTGAGACATTTCTTGCTCCAAGTCTTTGTTCTCTTTCTCTAAGGTCTCTAGCCGTTTGGTAGAAATCTTTAGTTCCTCCATGTTTCTCTGCAGGACCTGGTTTTCACTCTCCATTCCTTGCACTTCTTTCTCTAGCTCCTGAATCTTTTTGCTGCTGTTCTCCAACATTTGCTGAAGTCTCTGGTTTTCAGAGTTAACACTTTGATAGCTTAGCTCCAGTCTCTCTGATTTCTTGCTCAGCACTTTTAACATTTCTACATTCTTCCTTAGGTCCTCTTTCTCCCTCTCCAAATCTTTATTTTCTGCTTCTATTTGTGCCATTTTTGTGCTGGTAAATCTCATGGTCTCTACCACTCTCCTGAGCTCCAAATTTTCTTCATCTAACTGCTTGTTGTCCCTTTCCAGATCACCAAGACGGATAGAAATATTCTGCAACGTGTCCAGGGATTTTCTTAATTTCCTATTTTCCACCTCCAGATCCCCATTTTCCTGCTCAAGAACTTCAACTTTTTCTGTCACTATTTTCATGGCCGCTGCCTTCTTTGTGAGCTGTTCATTCTCCCTCTCCAACCGATGAAGTTCCTTCTCCATTTCTTCCACTCGTTCCACTTTCTCTTTAACCTGCTCAAAATCCTTTTGTAATTGTTTCTTCTCAAATTCCAGCTTGTTCAGTTTGCTACTAGTTTCTGTGACTGTTTCATGAAGGATCTTGTTTTCTTTTTCAATGTCTTTCACTCTGGCCTCACTGCTTACTTGAGATCTTTGTCTCAAGGACAAGACCACTTGATTAAGGTGATCATTTTCTTGTTTAAGATCCTTTATCTACAAAAATGAGTAACAAGATAAAAAGGTCATGCAAATACTGCTCATCTACTTTATGATATACAGTACAATTTAGATGAGTGTTAAAAAATCAATTTAATTTAATTACTTCAACAGTTATCCCTAAGACCCATAACCTTAACAGACAACACATACACACACACAAAAAAATAACCTGGGGCTCTAGTGTATTAAAAACAGGGTTGTGTTCCTCCTAACAGCTAAGGAGAACTAGGCAGAGAAGACAGCCAGATGCCTTCACAGAACATGCCAGAGTTAGCAATTTGTTAGCAACTCCTCACCAACGATATCTTTCTGTCTGCAGTAACAAAAGCCAACACTTTGAGAACTTAAGGACACAAATTCTTTCTGATAAGACTTCTGAACCCCCCAGCCTTGAATGCCAGTATTCAACTGGTAGGTCTCATTAAGGATATACATTCTGCAAAAGCAGGGCAGTAACCATACTGGGCTAATTCCAGCCCAGACAACTAGAATTTACAATAGTCTTTGCATTTGATTCTTAAATACCCAACATCTACAGAAATCAAACAGTACTTTGGCCTGAAACAATCAGAACCTGGCTTTTTCCAATAACCGAGGATACTTTTCTTGCTACTTACTGCCCTAAATGTGAAGCATTCACTAAGCCTCATCACAGAGAATCCATGTTTTTAAAGGGAACTGTATGACTTTGATGGTAAATTGCAAATTCCCAGATAAGAAATTTCTGTAAGAATCTTTCAAGGGGAAAAACACTACATAAATAAGATATTTTGTTGTTTAATCTTTGTTCCACAGGTCATGGGTAAATTTTAATAAATATTAAGAGTAGGCAGACCATTCTCCAACAACCCATGTATCATTTCCTTAACCATTATTAACAGGAATCATTTCATTAATCAAATTATTGCAGATGGTACCCTTGTGTGAACTGACAATAGAGATTTCAAGGCATTGTACATGAACTGCAGCACACTAGTAAAAGCTGAAAGGTATTTAAAGTTTAAGAAGGTTTATTTTAAGAAGTAAATAAACTTTATTTACTACTCCAAGCCTGAATACAGCTGTAACTGTTCAATTACCCTGAGCTTCTTGCTTAAGAGGGCAGATCTGCATTTACAAAGAGCATGCAGATCTCTTATGCAAACAGGCTTAGCAGTAGCTAAACCCAAATATGTCAAGTCTTTTTGCTCAGAGACCTTTTACCTGCATTTGAACAAGATCTTCCTGCACAGAACAGCTCTGAATTTGCCCCATCACTCCCTGACAGAAATAGAAGGCTTCTAAATGACATCAGTAAATCACCACCACCACTGAGCACTTGTTTTTGGATTACATTTATGAGGTTTGCACCTGTCTGTCTTTGTCGGCTTTCAAATTCTCCATGATGACTTGTAGTTGCTCTTTCTCTTTTATCAGCTCCTCGCTTAAGGTCTCCAGATCTTGATGACTTTGCTTCTCTTTCTCAATTTGATTTTGCAGCTTTTCAATCTGTGTGGATAAAACAACCCAGAACACGTCAGACAGCCTAACACAATGATTGTTCTCATCTAAAGGTTCTCTGAAAAACACACAGCAAGGAGACAGAAGCATGGCTGATATGCAGTTCTTCCCTTCTGCAGCTACCAGGTGCAGGAGAAAAGCAAGAGCGTTTTATTTTCTCACAGTGCCAAAAATCTCCTTCTTGCTTATTAAGATGAGACCATAAAAATACAACAGTGAGAGGTGCTTCAAACAGCCTGAAGGCCATTTCTTGCTCCTGTCAACAACTGAAGTTTCTGGTTCTCACCATTCTGACAGATTGTGTCTCCTGGTAGCCTCTCCACTGCTGATAACCTTAGTCCATCAGCTGCTGAGAAGGCCAAGACAACTCAGTGAACAAAAGAATTAAAAAACCAAAACAGAAAAAAAAAAAAGGCACTGTAATTCTGAGATTTACATTCCTCCTCCTTGAGTTTCCTCAGTAGAAACCTTCTCTCCTTGTTTCCTCAGCAGATCACCACACTGGTTTTAAATGATTTGTGGAGGACCTAGTCCTACATTAAGTAGCATCTTTTTACTACTTACATTTAAAAACTGGTCTTAAAATGTACTGAGCATTGTAAAGAAGTAGGTTTTTTTAGAAGCAAGAGGCAGGAAGCATTCCTTTTTATGCTCAAAAAATACTGTGAACACTAACAGCTCTGCAAAAGTATCCATTCTTTTTTTGTGTGTGTGTTGATATTTGAACTTTGCCAAAGGTGAAAATGCCAATGAAAATGGTATTAACAATAATTGTTACAAGTGGGAAATGGCCGGAGGCTGGGCTCTGCCTGTGTCAACATAGGCCTCATTACAGGAAGTGTTTAAACAAGCAGGGACTGCCTAGATTGGAGATAAGAAGGGCTTAGATTTAGAAATGTAACCACAATAAGGTTCACTGGTCCCAGAAGAGCTGTACAGAGAAGGCGAGAACATGAACTCAGTAATTCAGCAATAACTGCTCTTCATTAGCACCTCCTAGAGAACTGGGGACAAGGAAGAAGCTACTGTTTATGGCTTGTTTCAGTCCAAAGATCCAGAAAAAAAAATTAGTTGGAGAGCTGTTCCCAAGAGGAGGGTTTTCTACTATTACACCATCTTTAAACTTTTCAAGCTAGGGGGGTACAGTGCAGGCAGTCCATCTTTTCCTTAGTATCCTCACTCGTCCTGCCCTGAATAATCCCATCCGCTTCTGCGGCTTGAGCCTTCCAAGCACCACTAGATTAGCAATCAGGTAACAAGCTTTAACAGTCTTGGGCCCTGGGTGAAATCTGACTCACGTAATCAGCTTTCAGAGACCAGGTTCTTTCTTTAGGTGCTTCAGGTAAGTTACCAAACTTGATTTTGCAGTTATTTCAGTCCTACTGTTCAGTCCCCTGTTTCCGTCCTGCTGTTTTCCCTACTCTCCTTTATTCTTTCACACATTTCATCACTCTTCATTTTTATCTCATTGCCATTTTTTTCCTCTCATTGTTCTGACTCATCGAGTGGCCTCTTTGCTCCACACAGCAATTCCTCACTATTGGCTTTTTTTTTTTCTTTTTTAATTATCAGACCTGTAGGTGACCCCAATCTACCAACACACCTGTTGTCATTGAAAACATCCAGCTAATGTTCTAATCACAACCACTGACACCAAGACAGTGCCATAACTGGAAGTGCCCACAGAAACGTGCCTGGGGCAAAGTCCAAGGCTGATCACAGTTATTTAAATGACCTAAATTGCTGCAAACCACAGCTATCTGCTGAGTGCTTTATATCTCTTGATCTTGTATTTTAGGAATGTAAATTACAGCTGGAGTGAATTACTCATGCACAATCGTTCATAAATCAGAGTGGTGAAAGAGTACAGCAAACTGCATTTTTGCAAGCAACTTTTCTTGTCACAGAAAAGAATTCATGCAGCAGAACAGTTCTCTCAACTTGGCAGGAGGATCTCTCCAGAAGGCAGTGATAGATTCCTGTTTGCCTTAGCAGGGGTGTCGGCATTCTGTACTAATTACAACCTAGTAGTTCATGACTAGCATTTCATAGCCAGATTCCTTCTCCCCTTGTCCTTTAAAGCATTCAGTTAGTCACAAACAGATCAGAGAGGACTGAAATTCCTTTACCACTGTAGCACACACAGGTCATAACAGCAACAGGGAAAGGAGAAAATGGCCTTATAGTCTGCATAATTGAGCACAGATAGTCTGCATAATTGAGCACAGATAGGAACATAGAAGTGAACATGGGCATTTTTCATATTCTGATTGACCAGCATCCTTTTTCCCCACTGGCACTTGTCTCGAGTACTCAGAGCTCAGAATGCACATTTCTAGTTGGATGAAAGGGGAGTTAGGGACTGTGTGTGAACTGAACACTACATTTTTCAAGACAGGGCTGAGCTGAAAGTTGATCCAAGAGAAATAACACTTGCTAATGGCATGTAATGTTTTTGCATGCACGCACACACACATACACAAAATTAAGAAGTAATGATTACACATTTGTTACCAGGTATAAAAAGAACCCAGAGCTTTAGAGAGACAGTAGAGAACTTGTAATAACCAAAAGGATGAAGTAAAAATGATCCAGAACAATGGACAGTAAAGGAAGTTATTTAGAAATACACTAAATTGAGTTCATCTCAGTAGTTCACTGACATAATACTAAATCTTTCAAACAAGAGAAAGAAAAGAAGTGTATTCACGGCTTGCTCACAGAGCAAGCATCAGTGACTGTCACAAGACAGAAAAGAAAGAACAGCTGGGGCAAACGAGCATCCAAGGACAGGGTTTATGGAATGTTCCTGGAGCATCCACTTTTGCTTGCAGGGATGCATCTATGTAGGCAGTGGCTAGAAAGCAATGGAATACACTGATGCCACAAGAGGCCTCCTCATATTACACAGAAGGGCCTGAAAACGTTTCCAGTCTCCTGGAGAACACTGGAGGACTCCAGTGCTTCCTTGCTGTTCAGGAACATTATAAAGCTCTGCACACACTGTGCTCTAAAACCAAAGAGTTTGCTCTGCTCTGTGAGCAAAAATTACCTTTTTGCTTAGCTGCTGGTTTTCCTTCTCCAGTTCCACAAACTTCAAGCTGCTCTCCCTGGAGGTCAAGGAGGCATCTCTCAGCTCCTGGATGGTGTTCTGCAAGCTCTGATTGTCCTTCTCCAGCTTCAGTATGCGACTCGACGCACACTCGTTCAGCTCAAACACAAAAGACTTTCTAGCTGTTGAAAAAAATGAGTCAGAAGGGGGCACTAACCAAATTCAGAAATATCCCCCTTTCTGGGTCTGTAAAGCTTGCTTTTACAAAACTCATTGCAGCCAGGTCCTTATCATCTCAGCTTGACTAAGTTAATGCTCTCAAAAAACCCCAGAGTGCATTTGTACAGAAAAAAAAAAAAAAAAAGATCTTTAATAAAAAAGGAAACATCTAAGGACATAACTATCTTAAAAGCCACATACTAGCATACTACAAAGCTGCATTTCCTTACATATGCTCTTAGAGTTACTTTAACCAACAATGGTCAGTAGGGAAACATATTTTGATACACTCTTTTACATTTCCTTCAAAGGAAGTAATGAGGCAGAGAGTAAAAAATTGAGAACTGTGTGTAACATATCAAGATGTTGCACTCCCAAAAGCCAAAACAAATTCAGGTATCTGACTATTTAGAAACTGAACACTCATAAAAGTGAATTCAGATGTTCAGCCACCCAGCTCCTTTGCTAACATGCAAAACCCAGAAAAGTATTTTATTATCTGCATAAGCACAGGACATCTTTCAGAGAATTGATCGCAGAAATCTCTGAGGTTTAAATCTTAAGACTAACAACATTTACACAGGTTTTACAACAGAGACTTTAAAATGCTTAGACTAAGTCTCACTAACACCCACCATCCATTTCCAGTACCAAAGCCCAAAGTCTCTACTGCTCAGTTCTTTTCTCTACTCAGTGTCGCAGTAAATAGAAGAGCCATCACAGAATAATTGACACAGAATAATTGCTATCCATGAACTCAAAAACCACATCTGAAAACAGTGATCAAGTTGCCTTCATATTAAGTGTCAGAAAATGATTCATTGGAGCTAAAATAACCATCACTATTACATCCACCAAACAACAATCCCGAACTAGCTAATTGCTGAACATGTTAAAACTTTTCTAAGACCACCACCTAGAGAGGCTTCATTAAGAGTCAAGTAGTTTGGATAAAGAGTCAAACAGTAACATTAACAAAACATTCTCATTCAATTCTGTTTCGAAGCAAAGCCTACCTGAATTTTGCTGCTTCCAAGCTTAGCTTTTTATTAATTTTGAATAAAACATTTCCAACTAACCTATAAAACTTTTTTTAATACCAGCCAACTTTGCACAAGACTTGTGTTTGGAAGAGCAAGGACCACTGAAGAAGGACTTCTTAACCATTATCATTTCTGAAATAAAAGCAAATGTAAAACAATCTTTCTAAAAATATTTTAAATTACACTAATACAGATTTTTTTCCTGCTGAATACAAATGTTAACTCGTGTTCTCAGTTCTTCTATTTTGTTTGTTCGTTTGTTTACTTGGAAATAGTTCTGGAGCTCCAATGAAGGGAAAGTTAAAACTACAATGAAGAAATTATAAAAAATGCTACTCACTGTCCGCAAGGTCTGTGCTTTTTGACAGTTGTTCTAGTTCCCAGCCTAGGTGTGCAGACTCATTCATGCTCTGTTTCTGTGCAATCTCCAAGACCATATTCTCCTCCAGCAGCTCTTCAATTCTCTTCTTGTCCGTGTCCCGATCCTATGCAAGTGTGCAAATGAAAACGTACACAGAGCTTAACTGCAAGAAAGTTCTGTCAAGTTGAACTGTTAAAACAGTTCACTGTTTTAACAACACACACTTTTGAGGGCAGAAACGTCTCTGTAGGCAACTTAATATGTCTTAATATTAATGTGTCTTAATATTAAGACATCTGTACAGCATCATTTGTAGGGATACCACATGAGCTGTAAATGCTGTGCACATCCCCAGCTGATCCTGTTAGGAGTCAGCTCAGATCCATAATATACTTGGAGGAAGGGGGTGAGGATAAAGACATACACTTGGTGCTGCTGGGGCCAGACCAACAAGGCTGGCCTGGCTGAATCTGAGCTCTGCCCTTAGCAAGGCTTTTTGTAGAAGTGTAGCACGATGCAGGGAGACCCTAGAGACTCTGCATATATGACCTTGAATTCTATGGGGCTTCTTCACTTTGTCATATCTAATCTGGATCAAGTCATAATCAAGAACATACTTATAATTATCCAAAAAATGAATCCAGATAAGGTTACATTTACTTTGGCAATGATTTTGGTCATTTATATATGTGGGATTGACATGGCACCTTGAAGAGTCCCAATTTCCAGCAAGCGTTGTCCAAAAATTCACCGTCCACTTCTGAAAAGCTGGAGCATCATGTTGCCATAAATTAGTCATTAAACACAGCTTCTTTGCATAATCATCTTTTGTTTCTAACATACTCTGTTTCAAAAGCTTAAACCCACAAGAATTCAAACTAAGAGGGACAACAGGAAGCAGGTTAAGTTAAATACAGGAGAAGAAAGATAATTCTTACATCTGGTCAGATTAAAAAAAAAGAAAAAAATCCCATGTCCGTTTTTTATTCGCAGATGATAAATTGCCACTTCTTGCATGTCTTGTCTGTGAGGCAGTGAGCCAAGACTCTGATTTATGTTGTAATCAATTTTGGATTTGTGTCTTCTATATTAGTGATGAGTTCCTACGGTTTTCTTAACAGCTGTTGGTTTTGTTTCCAACAAAAGCCTGTGTACTACTATAGTTTCCATATTCAATATCTGATATTTCTAAATGACAGATTTAAAAATTTTACAAAGAAAAATGAAGTCATTCTGTATTTAAGTTGTGATATATGTTTTTGCAAAAAATGAAATTCACAAAACTGTTCCAAACAGCAGCACTGCTAATACTTACACATTGAGTGCTATAGCACATTTTAAGAATACATATGCACAAAGTTCAAACTAAAGACAATTTAAGAAGCATTACTGATTTAGTTTCCTTTCTCCACTGGTTTGCGCAACAAATTCATGTGACCTAACATGAAAACAGAACTGAAAATAATGAGTGTAACAGAAGAAGGATGCATACCAGCTCTACATCATGAAGTTTGGATTTCAACTGCAAATTTTCCTTCTCTAATTCATGCAATTTATCACCACGAGCTCTTGCCATTGTTAACTGTTCTTCTAGCATGGCCTTTGTTTCAATTAATATGATGTTGTCTTCTCTTAATTCCTGCGGAGAAAAACATAGCAATATATACTGTTAATCTCTTTTACATATATACTTTTGAAAGACAAAGTAACTTTCATAAATTGATATTACAAAATATTTTAAAAGTTTGACTTGTTTCCTTTATTAAAAGAACAAAAATACATAGTTTAATAGAAAACAATAGGTTAATGGAGTTCCTTTTGCTGTAAAAAAGACTTGATCAAGAGGTACCAGAGTGACCCAGAACAACTCTTCATTTCTAATTCTATTACCATAATGCCATTTGCTCATGTAACTCACTGCAGCCCTCTGTTTCCCCAACTATAAAATAGATTACATTTATTAAAAGGTTATTATGTTCAAAGCATACCATGTTTTTTGTGGAGCAACAAAAGATGTTTCATGCATTCACATATCCTATCTCCTGAAATAGGAAATGTCTAAAAAGCATAGAATCTGGCTTTGTATTTTTGGTCATCTTTTAAATCTAATGAATTATTTCAAACTAATGCACCTGACTGCTAACTTTCACTCTTTCTGATCCTCAGATAAATCCAAGCCACAGATTCAATTTTCATTTTCCATGGCAGGAAAACATCAGCTCTCAAAAGATTTAATTAGCACAGGAAGGATTTTTTTCTTCCCCCAGAAGAGCTACAGTGCAGAAAGTCATTTATTTGTTCCTCTAAAGAACTGTTCTTTTGTCAGCTTTCCCTCCCTTTCCCCCGCTCTAGTGAAAGACACAAGAATGACTAAGTGCACAAAGGCCTGATGAAGTGCTTTTGGCTCAACAACTTTATTCCTGGACAACAGCCTTTGAAATGTGAAGTGTCTTGACACCAGTGACATCAGTGTCTGCTCTCTCAGACCACAAACATCCAAACCAAGTAGATTCCTGAAACTTTACCAGGCACAAGTAAATCTCTAACTGCTTAGGCAGCAACTACCTTCTCATTTTTGGGAGGGTGGACTCAGCCATAGAGAGAGAGAGAGCCTCGCGTGATCCAGTTATTAAAACAATATCCAAAATCAAAAACTAACACCCACACTCGAAAGACAGCTGCAAAACACAAGATAGGTTGTCAGATGACAGCCACTACCCTCAACTTCTGCAAGCACCAACAGAAATAATTCAGTATCCTTATACAGCAGACAAGTTGTTTGCTGCATCTTGACTGTAGATTGGCACCATATGGGAGTCCACTTTACGCACTGCAGTATCATCCTTGACCTCTCTGTGGGTCACCTACCAGCTCGCAAAAAGGAAGAGAAAATATCCCTACTACAAAAGCAGTAAAAGGACAAGTATATGAGAGTTTATGAAATGATTCAGCTATTGCTAATAAAATGTCTGATCCTACAAGAAAGAAAACACAAATCCTCTCCTCTTGATTTATAAAACTAACATTCCAGGCTAATCTGGTCTAACATCTTCACTTTAGGATGAACAACCCAAAGTTGCTGACACTGAACCATGATAGACCAGAGGAAGCAGAGGAACAGGAAATTTTCAGAGGGTCACATAAGCTGCAGGAAAACCCATACTGGAATGGCAACATGATCAGAGTTTGCTTTGCTGGCTCATCAAACTGAGCCTGGACCACAGCCCCAAGAACGAAGGTGGTGTCTGACCTCAAAAATGCAGCCTCAGAACTATTCCCAAAAACTGTCTATCAGGCAGAAACCAGTTACTTCATTGTCTCATAAAGAATTAAGCTATGTGCCAAGCACATGTACATATTCAGGCTCTGGTACAAGCTGTCCATCACTGGGAGCTACAATACATAGAAGACCAAAGGCACATTTCCATCAAGTACCCCAGAGGAGCGAACATGTCTGTTCAAAACAGTTCTGATGAAATCTTAATAACCCGGTGGAAATGCCTCCTGTGACTAGGTCAACATGCTAGCTGGTGCACCCATGATATAAGGCTGTCTTAATATTGAAAAGTTCATTTAATTTAAATAATTGCTCTATGGAAGCTTTCAAAGTTAGATTGCAAAGCCTGGAAGGTAAAACCGTTCTACCTACAACATGTCAGCACTAACACCTCACAGAACTCTGGGATAACATAACTGGGCTCAAAATGTGTCTGGCTACAAATCACTTGGATTGCAGAAGCAGTGGGTAGAAGTGGTGGTATTTTCCACCAAAATTAATTTAAGCTTTTTGTTTTTAAAAAGAAAGAAAAAAGAACAAACAGAAAAACCCTACCAACATGATTCTGTAGCTACGAGTTTCTTCTCAAACCAGCAACAAAAATTGATGGCTGTTCATTTATTTTTCTGCAAACATACTAAACTTACTGGGTAAGAGATTCAAAAAAAACTATGCTTTATATTGCTTTTACCTTAAACTGTGATGGCTTAATACCCACCATATACAATCTTGCCTTTGTAATCACATTTCTAAAATAAAGTATATATTTTGCTCTAATCCCAAGTTAGCTTTAAGAATGTGCATCGTATACTCATATGGTTACAATTAACTCTGAGGAGAAGTGCTTATACAAGCAGGCTGCTTTACTTTTCAGAAACCTTTTCAGATACTAAAAGAGAAAACAGATTATAGAAATCAAACCAGGAAAGCTGCACACACATTTAGACCTAGTTATTAGATGGAGTCCAAACCTTCCCTTCTGGCAATTTGGAAGCTGCCCTCATTGAGCCATGATACTGATAATAAATGTCATGACAATCAAGTATTGCCTGGGTTGGCTACGTGAACATACGGAAGAGTGTTTTTAAGACAAAAAACACTTTAAAAAGCTTTAGGGGGGCAAGGCCGACCCCCTGGGCCTAGGGAAAGAATCTCCTGAAGCAGAGAGGAATCACAGAAGGGTTGAAGTTGGAAGGGACCTCTTGAGATCATCTGGTCCCAACCCATGGAGCTCTCTACCCTGGAGAGCAGCACCTCGGAGGAGGAAGCCCTGCACTGAGCCTGTTCCCCCACAGCCGTTAGACCCCATTAAGCCACCTGGGTAGGAAGGTCTCCAGACCACAGCCATCTCCATGGTCCTCCAACAACTGTCAAATTAAAGCACCATTTCAGAGCATATTCTTGTCAAAAAATACAGAGAGGGAAAACAACACACATGCTCAAGAGAAATAACTGCTCTGTTTGTATTCCTTATGTCCTCCTTAAACTCCTCCCTGCTGCCACTGCTGGTGTCTATGATGTGCTTAGAGCTCCTGTATCAGCTTGTTCACTACTCTTTCAGGTTGTCACAGCATTCTAGGCAGAGCACCTTCCATACATCGTGTTCAGGCTACTGAATGTACATGACAACTACAAGAAGGAAAAGATTGTCAAGTGCCTGTTTGTCAAAAGCTTTCTTCATTGAGACACAAAATTAAAATCACTTGCTCTTCTCCCGTACTGATTCTGCAAGGCTTGTTAATGATGTTGCCAAAACCTTTTAAGCCTTAAGGTATCACACTGCCACACTGCTGTGCTTTATGCACCTCTGCTTTTATTGCTGTGGCTCTGAGGGGTTTATTCAGGTCTTAAGCACCCTGAGCCTAGTATGCAAACTGCACCAGTTGATGCCATTAGATGAACTGGCACAGCACAGTCCAGTGGCACAAAAGCTGCACATTACTGCATTAATGCACATCTCTGCATTAAAAGCTTGCACATACTTTGCAACTTAAAATTGTAAGGCTAGCACTTTTTGAAGGAGTAGGAGGAATCTGAGCAGGTACTGAACTGCTCTCCAGGCTATTGCCCTTGTTTCACAAGGGCAGAGGACTAGACTCAGTGGAAGAACACAGATGGACATGGAGAGTTGGATCCTCAGTGCGGGACGATGAAGAAGCCAGCGTGCTGTCCCATGGAATCATCAGCGTGGGACTGAGGGTGTTTTCCTGACGATGCCCCTGCACAAAGCTGCCAGTCCCTAACTGTGCCAAGGGTGGATCAAAGCTAGCAGAGGGAGTGGTGAGCATGTGAAACACTCTGGCTATTTGAGACCCAAGTGTAGCCTACAGAGAGCTGTGCAATCCTGCCACATGTTAAAAAAACTCAGCCCTTAGAGAAGGAACAGCTAATGCAAGAGGCCACACTATCGCCCCAAAATAGAGAAATGCCACGTTCATGGGAATACTTTTCACCTCACCCACTGCCGTATCTCAGGGAGGTATCCCTGGAGGGCCAGTTTTCAACAATTTCGCCAAAATCTGGCAGGGCAGAAGGAGTGAGGGAAGACTGAACAAATCAGAAGTGGAGGCCTCCTTACTGAATGGTGTGTTAAACAAGATCAGCAGGCAGACAGAACAGGAAACTGCTGAACAAGGACAAACAAAAGGCCTGAAAACCAGAAGCACCAGTAACTTCTCCCCTGCCTTCAGACCAAGGAAAGGCTAAAACACTGCCCTCCTCTTGCCACGCTGGGGGAGCAGCAGGTAGAAGCAAAGCAACCCCGGCATAAAGCCACAAGGGAAATGCTGGCACGCCACGCTGCTAGCTGGCATGCCAGGCTAATGCATGGCTGATGTTTAGGAAGGAAGGAAGGAGACAGAGCTTCAAACTCCCTGAAGTAAAATGGGAATTACAGAGAGAAAAGATGGGCTTGTGCAGGATATTGCTAAATTTAATAATCAGCTATCTTATTGAATCTATTCAACGGAAGCAGCATCTAGCTGGTGTCCTAGGTTAGATGGAAAAAGAACTGCCTACAAAGCAGGGTTTATAGAGCAGAAATAAGGCATGTGTTCTTAGCCAGAGGCCTGATGAAAATTAGTTTCAGGACTGCTCTTCTCCCAGAACTAGGGTTTTACTCAATTATAGCAAGGGCTAAAGTACAGAACCTCAACATGGGTATCCAAGCCTGGATATCCAGCTGGCTCTGGCTGAGATACCACTTAAGTGCAGTTATTGAGAGCTTAGGCGAGAGGGCCTCAAAGCACAGAAAACTGCAGTAGAGCAACCTGATCTAACTTGAATTCTCACACTTCGAGAATTATAAGCTGATAAGGAGCATTACTGGGAGAACAAAAGCATGGGTTTTTTACTGATGCCCTCTGCTCATGGCACCAAGATATCTCTCCTCACATGCAACAGTTGCAAAAAGTTGTCATCCAAGGTCATGCTTAAAAATGCCCAGTCACTTGAACGACAGCTGCAACTGCTACAGACACCCATTCATTTAGTTAACTTATACACAGCAATTAAAGTGCTGGCCAAAGGATTAACTTTGGACAGCAAACTTTTTACTTGCAGTCAGTTTTCAAGGTTAGACTTAGACCCTTTAGAAGGAACTTCCAAAAAAGGTCTGTCCTCTTAGTCAGATAATGTTGAGCTAAGCAGAATTTACTAGAAGTAACGGACACTTTTTATGTCCATCAAGTCTAGTGAAAGAATGTTTTGGCTACCGAAAGAATTTTTACTGCTGCTAAACCAATACCAATGAACAGTATGAAATTTCAACTTGCTCTGATCTTTTGCTGCAAAAGCCAAACATTAAGGATTACTTATCAAATCCTCCTCCCAATCTCCACTTGCCTCCATGCGAGCCTTGTAAAAATCCACATCGTGAAGTTTCTCTTTGCATCGGACAAGCTCCATCTCCAGCCTCTCGACACGGTTGGCCCTCTCTCTCAGGGAGTCCAGCTCATCTCTGTATGCTCGGGCAGAGCGAGCGTCCGAGGCCAAGTGGATATTCTGAGAAGATAGACAGATTAAATAAATAAACGAAAGTATTCCTTGAACTATCCAAGTTTTTTTTTTTTTTTAAGGAGCAGTCATGAACAGAGATCAAATAATTTTCCTTTTGCGTATTTATGACAGAATTCTCCTATTAGCCAGTCAATTCTTTGCAAGACTGAGAGGCTCCTCAGCCTGCTGGGACTCAGACATATTCAATACCTGATGTTGCATGTGCTCCAGGCATGACTGGATTATTTGCAAGCTAAACAGATGAGACTGCTCTCACCATTTACGTAGGAAGCATAGCACTGCTATTCCACAGTCATACTGGTCAAACAGCTTGCTGGAATAACTTGATCCTTCATTTAAGAAAGTGTGGTGCAGTTTTTTTTTGCCTCACAATGAAAGAGATGTTTTTAAATTAGGAAGTCTGACACAGTGAAACAAGGCCACCTTACCTCTTGTTTTATTTTTTGCAGCTCTAGGATGAGCTGTTCAACTTCATGTTTAGAATCCACAAGCTGCTCAGACTTCTCTTCCCTGAAAAGGATTAGAAACTTAGTAAGCAGATTCTCTTTTTTCCCCCCGGAACACTACCGAGTATGTTTTCTAGGAAATTAGAAGGAAAGACAGAGGTCATCAAGGATATTCTGAACACAGAATTTTTGATGGCATGCCACCTTCATAAGACCAAGAGGTATTTTCTTGTGATACCATATATCATAGATTTGAGACTGCAACTATTTTTTTTTAAGTATTTCTGTTCAAATCTCGTTAGATATTATTGCTATCATAACTGACCTCACTATCCTCTGAAGTTCCACTTATTAAGTAGTACTGCTAGAGGAATGTGAAAGATAGACATGATTCTAAGGGCTCCCATGGGGATCAGTGCAGGGAAGCCGACAGGCAACTGTATTTTCAGTCTTAACTCAGAAGTGTCTCTAGAAGCATAAGATGCTGGTGACTCACAGCTCCTGCCGGACTCTTCGCAGCTTGGCCTTCGTGTCTGCCAGCTCAACTGCAAGGTGCTGTTTGTCTTCATTGGAACGCGGGTTGGCTGGATTTGGTGAGGAATCGGGGCTCGGTGCTTTCAGAGGACTTGGTGGTTGCTGAGACTGTAGATAATCTCTCTCTTGAGTGAGATCTACAATCACCTGGAAGTAGAGAATAATACGCGATATTAAGGAGCATATGAGGAAAGAAATCTCTAACACGCTCACATGACTAGATCAACATTCAGTCTATTTTGCTTGGATAATCCATACAAGTTCTTTAAAAGTAATCACAAAGTCACATGCATGACAGAAAAGTCAGGCTAATGAAAGGAAGGCACCAACCCCAAGGATCTGAAGGGAAAAGAGCTGATGAATCAGTAAGACATAGGGTTGATGTTACACAGGAAAAAATGAAGATGACACTGGAAACAAAAACAGCAGGTGTTTCACTGGAGAGAGTCAAGCGATGACTAATGTGAATGACGGAACAGACAAGCAGAGACAAAATTCTGAAGACAATCACAGTTTGAAATGCTTTGGTCTCCACTGCACGCACTCCTCCTACCAATCAACGTACCGCATCTGAAGCGCTTATTTAAGAACTGATTGAAAAGTCAAATATTTCCACAGATTTTCAGAGGTGTAACAGAAAGGCTCAGAATGGAGACCAAAAGCACAAACAAGACAGAACAGAAGAAAGAGATGATGCATCAACTGTTCCACAGAAGCTGTATATGACAGAGGTGTCATCGTACTTCTGTGCACTCATCTCTCTCATCAATGAGTCTTTTGAGGTGGAAAACCATATTCCTGGAGAGAGACTCCAGTTCTTCTGGAGCCATGTCCGGCAGCTCCAGCCACTGTAAATCAAAGACATTCTCCTGGTTGTGAGTCACCTGAAAAGAGAAAAAAAAAAACACTCACTAGTCGATTTAAAATTTTCTCTGCTACATATGCTGCAGTGCCCAGACTCATCTACTGGTCACTTTAAAAAGATAAAGATACCACATTTCACCAAAAGCAGGCTGGAAAGTACATAGGCATGACTACCTCAACTTTAACACTGGCCAGAAGTTTTTAGCATCCAGGTTTTTGATAATAACAATAATAATAAAGACTGAATTTTAAGAGTCACCAGGTGTACATTATGGCCAATAAGACATATGTTTGCACAGTAAAACTTCTGCAGCTGTCTTAGTTCAGGCACTGGGGCAGTCACTCCCTGAACAAGAAGAGAGTAGATCCCATGGCTGAGCAATGAGGCTGGTGCCTCACTGTGAGCAGCCCCATTTCCAAGTGCTCTGCAGCCTGCAGGTGCTACAGACAGGGGGATCTCACTCAGCTGGAATTGCCTTTTACTGCTGCTAGCACAGTTTGTTTTAACTGTCATCGTGCACAGCTGGTTTCCTCTCTATCGTTTAACAGAACTGTCAGTCAATAGAAAGGCTCTCAAGCTCAGTTAAACAATGTTTCTGGTTTTGCTACAACCATGTACTTTATTACAGCTTATTTCAAACAAGTCTCCCCTGAAAAGCCTTTCTTAGAAAGCAGATATTTGAGTGTTCTTGCCTTAGACTTCCACTATTTGTTCTTTAAATTGTAGTTTATCAGGCGTTTACGCCTGCTCTCCAAGACCCAGAGCTCACAAACGCTGCTGCCTACCCAGCAGAGGGCGTTTTCACCTGGATTTCTCTGCATCTCCAAAGCAAGCTAAGCTGCCCCTGAGCACCTAAACATTCTCCCTCCTTTTACCAAGTCCAAGAATATTTGTCACTGGATCAGTCTTCTGTTTAAAACAGAACACGCGTCTCATGGCAGCTGCAGAGTACTATTTTCAAGACTGAGTTAGGAAAACACTGTATGAAGCAACCAAGGCCCTGAGGAGCCTTCATCTCACCTACCACTGGACTCAGGCGTCTGAACTGCTGCTACAAATAGGACTTCGTGTCCTAAACCGTACATTCCTTTTGAAAGTATTTCACACCTTCTGCCTTACAGACATATCTTCTATATGAGCCTATAGCTGGCAAGACATTTATCACTGCATCTTTTGGAAAGAGCACTGAGTAAAGTAACATTCCAAACACCTGCCATTTTATCTTCCAATTTGATTGCAAAACTACTTGCACAGCATAATCATTTCTCTCTAAGGTTGATAAAACCCATTATGAAACTTCAAGTATTAGCTTTTTATGTTCATGCTTACATGTCTCAAGGGTTTTTTTTTTGCTATCAAAGTGAAGATAGACTGAGCTGAATCCTACCTCCTGAATGTGGGCCACGATAGCAGCTTGTGTTTCAATATCCAGTTGCTTTATTCTTTCAATAAATTCTTCTTTTCTTTCACACTGTTAAAAGAAAATACACCCTGAAATGATGGTACAAAACTAAACACTTTCTGTAACATTTTCTCATTTAAAATAACAAAGCTTGTATTGCTCATGACAACATGTTCAAGATCTACAATTTGGCACCCTCTATGAGATAACACTTTGTTGCACAAATGGAACATGAACTGAATTATACATTGAACTCCTGAAACTTTTTAAAGTCAGTACAACTAAGGCTAAGTTAAAATGTTTGGTTTTGCTCTTTAAAAACAAGCCCAATACACAATGAGATCAAGGGATAGGGTGACAGCCAGGGGAAATCACCACAGTTTCTTTAATGAGGTGCACAAACATAAGCGGGGTGAACAAAAGCCCTACATTTATACTGCAGCACTCCTCCCGCCTGCTCAGAGCTGTGGCATTTTCCTTGGTTTTGGCAATGAAAAGCAGTGCATCACTTTAGAGTGTGCTCACATCGAGCCTGCATTTTGCTTCCTGGACATTAAATCAACACATGCTTTAGGTAAAAAACAGGACTGAGGAACTTTCTGGACAAAAATTAGTTACATTTCAGACAAACAGATGCTAATGAGTCTTCTACTGATGATTTTAGAAGAATCAAACATCTCCCATTCTACCTCTGCAATTGTACGTTAGTAACATTATAGTGCAGACTTGTCATTAGAAGGCAAAAGAAGTTAAATATTTCTGAAGATTTTCTTAAGCTAGTTTTTCTACTATCTACAGGGGCCCTTTTGGGTGTGATTCTGAGTCTTATCATTCATTTCATTGGGAAAAGGCCCAAAACTGTAAACATGTGCTGAAGATGGAAGAGAAAAAAAAAAAAAGAAAAAAAAAGGGGGGGGGGGGGAAAAAGCTTGCCAAATCAGGCCTTTATTCTTTGTGCTGCAATGTAACAGTGAGATAAGTTCCGAGCAGCCATAGGAAGGCAGCATCACCCTGACATAATCAACTTGACAGGGCTGAGCAGGGTAAGTGTCCTAGGGCTCGACAGACACCAGCCAGACCAACAAACAAGGTCACGGAGAAGCAAAGGCTGCCGAGGCCCCCATTGTTCCCCACGGTTGGGCTGCTGGGCAGAACACAGATTTCTTTATCTGGCAGCTGTGTGTGGCGCTGCAGAGCTTCCCTTCTGTGTTGCCTGTCCATTTATTTTAATAAACATGACAAAATTGTACACATGAATATACAGAGTATTTATTCATTTAGGATTTTCTACCTATGTAATATTCAAAAAATGCAAATAGGATTCATTAAACAAATGTGTTGAGACTGTTAGCTCATCTTTACACTAGCACATTACTATTACACTCTTACATATATTAAAATAATATGAAAATAAACAAAAAAATCTTTAGAACAACACTGTTCAAAGCTTATCTTTTCGTATTCTGCTCCTAAAGAGAACCACTTAATTTTAAGATTACACATGCTGTGATTGATTCCAGTATTGGCAATAAACTGGGACTACTGCTGCCGTTTCATTCATCTACTGCATCTTTTCCCAGTTTCAGTTCATATGCTACATGAAATAGCTGGAAATCTGTTAGTTCAGCACTCATCTTTGGCCAGATTTTCTCTGCCCCACAAAAAAGGGGATTAAAAAGAAATTATTTTTCAGTTCTTTAAAAAGCATTTACCTGCACAGCACAACCCAGAACCAACAGCAGGAGCTTCTTAATTTCATCCATACTTTTACCTAGAGACAGACAGAAGGGAAAGGAAAATGATAAATAAAATTAAAAAAATAAAGGAGATACCTTCTTTAAACAAGCGCCTGAGTAATATACATGTGACTGTTTTAATGGTACTGTATTACCCACGTAACTATACAGCTTGTATGGATTAACTTGAAATCCTAAATTCAGCAAGTCTTTTCTACAGCATGCTATCATCAACTACCTTTTCTGACACTTCTCTTATTGATGATTTTCTTTTTCCTTTAAAAGGTTTATACATATGCCTAATGCTTGCTCTTATTTTAACAGAAAAAAATGTGCAGGAATATGTCAGGAAAATTACTCTCATGCAAAGAACTTGTTCTAACTGTGTGACATCTATTTTACAATTACAAATCTTCCCTAAACTGCAGAAAGTCATTCTGAGCACATAAATTCTCTTTACCAGATACGTTTTAGAACCTAATTCTGCTGCCGCCGTTCTGCAGCAAAGCATGTTCACACTTTGAAGTGAAAACCTCATGTATCCCTCAAAGGGATACAAAGGAGTGATGCAGAAGGGAGAATTTGCAGCTAACCATATACTCTTGGAACCACATAAGGTAAAGAAGCAAGGAATCCTGCTGCAGCCAGGCCTGCATGATTCCTCCTAAGGTTAAGAGGAGGCTGCACAGGGGGACTGGCATGGCCGTGAGCCAACTCCACATCTCCTTTCAACAAAATTAGAGGGTGGATTGCTGGGGAGCCAAGAAAATTACATATATCAAAGAGGGACGACAAGAGACTGAAGGCAAAGGGCTTCACAGAAGATGGAAATTCACTCTGCAGCTAACAAGAACCACCAAGATTTGAAATGAGACATTCACTAAAAGTCTGACCCCACCTATATAAGGTAAATAAGAGGCGAGAAACAGGCTATGCAGTTTTCTCACATCCCTGTATACATTTGTGTTTAAGCGCAGGATGAATATTCTCCTTTTATAGCCTGCTTTCCTCAAGCATTTAGTTATTCCACATATATATATATGAATTCCACACACACACACACATATATGAATTCCACACACACACACACACATATGAATTCCACACACACACACACACATATATATATATAAAATAATTTCTGAATTCCAAGTTAGAAGCACAGGCAGGACCTCAGAGTGGGGAGGGGGGTCACGCTGCTTCACACACTGCAGTCCTGTGGCTGCAGAAAGGCCCAGAGAGCCCAAGTGCCAGACAAGAACCTCACATGCCCCACAGCCACATGTGGTGAGTGCTTAGGAAACGAGGCGCTTGCTGGTTTCCTTTTAACACACATATGCCCTAAATAGCCTTTGAACATGGCTTGCTTTTTAAGTAGATTTTTCAACAACTTTCACAGAAGTTGATTTAAAAAAATCCTCAAGAGTCTTCTACAGAAAATACCAGTATAGCTTATCCTCAATTCTCAAATGTCACATTATTTGCTATTAAGACTGCAGGTGAAAGTCTCTTCAACAATGAAGATTTTTCAGAGGTGCCGGTTTCCACTCCACCCTGCGGATACAACACTGGCTCAAATTTTTGCATATCCTGCAAAGAAAGAAGGACATAACCTTTCCTGTTCTCCTATTCCTTCTATACAGCTACAGTTTAGCATAAAAATCATCATCTCAGTTTGTGATCATTTATCATTCTAAAATGACATAGCCTTAAACATAGCCAGTGTCATAAAAAGGCTACTTCAGGATGGTGTTTTTCTTTCCCTGCGACAACAGATGTGCACGAGGGGCACTGCACAACCCTGCCAGGTGCATTACCCTTAGTTATTAGCTAGGTTAATTCAACAAGGTCAACTTGCTCTCTACCCAGCGACTGGGTGGCCCTCAGAGGCCCTTTGCTCTCTACCCAGCGACTGGGTGGCCCTCAGAGGCCCTGTCTCAACCAGGATCCACCACAACATCAGTGAGAAATGGCAAACTCTGTGGCAGAGAAAGCCAAGGCAGAGCTTATGGAAAGCAACGAGAAATTAAGAGGCCTGAAGTAATCATGAGACAGTTACTTTGCTACTACTTTACAAACCAGCCTTTGGCAGTCAGCAGCCCACATAAGTCAGATGTTTTTCAAAAATGTGTTTTTAAGAATATTTTCATGCTTGCAGACATGCTACACACATGTAATAAAAATAAGACCATAGTACCCACTAGAGACACTTTTAAGATTACAAGTTCTAGATAACACATCTTCTCTGTCGACACAATTGTTTTAAAAGATGCTGTGCACATGCCTTGAGCTATGCTTCCCTTGTAATTATAAAATTGAATAATTGGGATTATATTAAATTATTCAATAAAGTAGAGTACAACTGAGGTGTTTTCTATAATCCCAGGATGGCAAATTGGTAAATTAAGGGAAGTATAAGACAATTGAATTGTGAAAAGTTCAAGGCGGGACTTTTCAAAACTTCTACGAGGACATAAGAAAGGCTTGACATTTCTTGCACATATGGAACAGTGAAATATATTTGGGTGGAAGTGGCGCAATAACTTTAAAGCACTCTGAGATCATTTACATGCAAGATAGATTTGAGCAAAGTTTTCAAGCCTTGGAATTATTTATAGGAGATATTTAGAAGAAACAGGGTACAAGTAGAAATCAACTGTTCACCCATTTTTAAGTGCTTTACCAAGATTTTTTCAACTAAATCCCAGAACAACCCCGGAAGGCCTTGATTACCTCTCCCCCATTTCCCACACACAAGGCTGAGGTGCCCAAACACAGTGCCCACGGTCACCAAGTGACTCGGAAGCACATGGAGACCCATGACATGAGGCAGGAACTAGGATTCACACACAGGACATTGCGCTCATGCTGTAACAAGTGCTGAACAAAAGCAAGTGATCTTTAGCCTTAACTCCATTATACCTCTTGTACAGTAATTCATGCTGTGTTTTCCAAAAGGCCTGGTTTGTGTTGATGTAAGGAGAAGGCAAAGCTCCCCCTGTACAGTGTGAGTAGAAACATGCAGGTTCCCTTGCACGAGCTCATCAGGACAATACAAGGCCTTCCTAGATGGCCAAGAAGAGTCTTCCGGGTACCCCTCACCCTGTGTCTTAGCTGATCTTACCAGGAGAGATTGAGTTTTTAGGGTTGGTTGTTTTTTATTTTGCTCGAGATAGACCTCTCAAAATTCCAGGGCAGCTGCTGTCAGGTTTCATATTTGGACACTGCAGATGAACCAACCAACCTGGGAGATTCACATGGGCCCACCTGCTCCCAGCAGTGAGATGTCAGGTGGGTTTTCTTGGAGGCAGGAACCCAAGCAGCACCTGGACACTCTGTGAGTGTCTTTGAACTGCAGGGCCAGGAGACCCCCGCCCCACCCCACTCAGAGAGGACTGAGAAGCAGATGGCAGCAGCCAGGAAGGCAGCAGGCAAGGGGATTAAGAGACACCAGCACAGCTGCCACAGTGAGGATCAAGGTATAGAGACAACACAGAAAAGCAGGGAAAAACAAGAGAGGGGTAGGAAAAGAAGGAAAGATAGCAGGGAGAAGTGTGCAAAGAACAGAGAGTGAGCCCAAACACATTACATTTGGGGTTTGTGCAGCTTCTTTGTGTTTCAATATGATTTTCCTCTAAGAGACCTGAGGGAAGGTCCTTGATGTGGGTGGTGCCTGCAAGCAGCGGCCAGGGGACCCACGTAGCAGGTGGGAAGTGGTGAAGCACACGAGCACTATTTTCCCCAACTACAGCAACATCCTGGGAAAAAAAAGCAGCTTGAATTCTAAATTTGCACTATTGAGGCAGTGTTTTGTTATTAACTCTATATTTTAATGAGCCTTTGTGTCTCGACAGGATTTTCAAACAAAATAAGGAAGGAAACCAAGCATGAAAAAACATCCCAGTGGGAGTCTACATCTTTTATGATTTTAATGAAAAACTGTTTCTATGGACTTTTATTAGCAGGGATTTGGGGCTCAGTTGTACACAAACTTAACTTGTCATTTGAAAAAGGTATCAAAAAAAGTTAAAAGTCTTGGGGAGGGGAGGTAGGGGTGGATGGGAACTATGACCATTACAAAAGATTAACAGCCATGATTTTCAGACACACTCACCAGCTGAGCTAACCTGGAAACTGAGAAACTAAACGAAGCAGTGCTTCTAAACAGAGGTTCAGAACTGCTGCTGTTTATTGATAATCCTTCCAGAGGCATGGGAATGAACCTGGCCATGTAAAGTATGCTGAAAAGCAGAGGAAGTGAAAGATGATTTCACAGAAGCGCACTCATTATCAGTATGCTAATGATTCTCATACTGAGGATGAGAAGATGTGTGATTTCTTGTAGGAATTTCCCAAATACTTTAATTACTCTCAGGTTTCTCTTCAGCTCCCTACATTCTACTTCCTCTTCTCACCAGCTATCTTTACAGCTTTTATGCTCATGGACTGCTCAGCTTTTATGCTCATGAACTGTAGACAAAATTGTCCCCGCCTAAAACAAAATGATTTGAAGGACAGGAAAGTAGGTAAAGGTCCTAAATCCAGCAGCCATGTGCCATGTCCTGTGTAAGAGCCCAACTACCATGGCACATGTAATAGCGGCAGCTCTGTTTCTGCAATGGTCTCATGTTCAAAGCACAGCCATAGAAGCCCTCAGCAGTCCTGAATGCCAAGTGACAAGTGGGAGCTGAAGAGCAAGAACAGCATTCTCGGCTTCAGAGCTATTCAGTTTATGATTTAATACACATAGCATCAACTTTGGGCAGTGTTTCAGAAGGACAAAGTAAAATTCTCAATTGAACTAGCAAACAGACCACTCTGAAACATCACGAAACATCATTACTAGGAATAAGTCAACCAGATGCACTGTATAACGATTTCATTGAGTGATCTAATAACCCTCTGTGCTGGGTTGTGTGGCATTAATACAGAAGTTGAGCCTTCCCGGTACAAACAGCACGAAGCAATACTCTATTTGTTCCAGGAATGTGACCACGAGATGATTTTCTTCTCCCCAGTGTCAAGAGAGGTCTTTCATTCAGATAAATTACCTAGGGAAGACAAAAAGTTGGACTCTGTTTCTCAGATCCATCCCAGCTTCTCAGACCATCTGCACCTCATCCTCCCTGGCATCTACTGCTGCCCAGCTCCCTTTATCCATCACTGTATCTACAGCTACCTCTTCCAAGACCTTCTTTCTCTCTCAATCTCTGTCCTGGACCACTGACAGAGAATGCTTCTCCTCTTCCCTTCCTGCCAATTTTAAACACCTACTTGTTAAGTAATATCTGTCTCATCTCCCCATATTGCTGTTATCCGAATCATCTCACTCTCCATGAGCTTTCCCCGAGTTCCTCCGTATTCACACCAAAAAGCATCACTTTCCACATTGATGACTGCTTTACTCTCATTTCCTTTTCTCCCAAACTAGACCAAGTACTTGCTGCCTTCCTGCCACTCCTCTCTTCAAGGCAGAAAGAACCCAAACCAAACCATACAAACCATGATCAAAAAAAAAAAAAAAAAAGACCCACCAAACAAACAAACAAAAAAGCACAAAACAAACAAACACCCTCATATATCTGACAATTATCTGGTCATGACTCACCAGACACTACTTCTCCCTTTTCTTCTTTGTGAATTCCTTTCTACTCTTTTGACTAATTTCTCAGTCCTCTCCTCCCAGGCTTTGTCAGCAATCAGACAGGTGATTCTTCCTGCAACCTCTGCTAGGTCTCTACTTCTCTAATGATTTCTTCTGCACATGTTAATGACAATCATTTACCTAAGGCTAGCTCAAGAACTTCTCTGGAAGTCCTGCACTCAGGCAAGGATGCTTTCAGAAGCAAGTAGTATCTCCTGTATCTCTCTATGCTAGCCTTTCTTCACAGTGTACAAGCTGGGACAGGTTCTCCAAAGCATTGCATAATATATCCAAAAGAGAACTTCACTTCTTATGTACACATATCCCATTATTTTCAGTCATCCACCTATCCCATTTCTGTATTATTTAACTTCTTTTCCCATGTGTTCTGGTGAATCACGCTAGCAATATCAATAACCACTAAAATATACACAGTAAAAAATAGCACATTTCAAAAGATAACAATAAAATGATACGAAAGTTTGTTTTTAATCAGAGGAGCTAGGGATAAGAACATATGGGTGATGACATCCTTCCTACAAGAAACATGTCAGGTGCTTTATTGAAAGAGTGAAAGCAGATTAACGTGCTGCCAGAGGGCAGCAAGTCACAGGGTTCTCAGAGCCATGGTTAATGCTTTAGTGGGAAGCTGCACAGAAACGCAGGACAGCTTTCAAGGGTGCCAGCTCCTCAGGAACCAATGCTGTGGCTACTGCATTACAAACCTCCTGCTAGCTGTAATTCAGGAACAGCTAGGACAAAAAGCTAAATATCCTTCCCCAGAGCCACAAGCCAGCAGAGATATCAACTTGTTGCCCCAGATATGGCTCTCCACTAGCATCCTTCCTAATGGCCCAGGCTCTTCCCATTCCTCTCTCCCTGCCCACATGCCTAAGAGGGGCAATAGCTCCAATTCCCTTCATGCCCCTCCCCAATTCCAGCAGCCCACATTGTACAGGTCAGGCTGGCAGTACAGACTTCACTCTGCTTCTTGGCAAGGTGTTCACTTACTCCTCAACTTGATTTTACTGCAAAGATATGAAGCCATACCTTAAACTTTCAGTGATCCAAAAACTTTAGGTTTATCTCCTTTTTGATATAAACTTTTCTGATATAAACCTACATATGTGATTGCTGCTAAGAACAGCAAAAGGAAAGCTGCCAAGGACTCTATCATTTGCTTATCCTGGACATGTTGGTTACCATGTCATCTTCTATCACTGCTGATTCAGTTCACCCAATTTTCCTTCACTGGTAAAAAAAATTTACTGCCCTAGGCACTGGCATGGGAAGAGATGGAATAGGCATGCAGAAATAAAAATCTCAACCCCAATCAAACTCTTCATTTTTTAAATGCAGTTCCAAGGAGAAGTCAGCTTCATTTTCCTGTTAACGAGCATTCATTTTGTCTCACTGAAGACACAGAAAATTGACAAGAGGAATTGCACAGGTACAGGGTCACCCTTCCATGACAGAGACTGAGGCATGTACAAAGAGAAACTGAGGCACAAAGCTCCCGATGCGCTGTGCACTCCACTGTAACATTGAGCAAATCACCTAAGCAGAATCTGAACTCATTAACTCCCACATGTGTCTGAACAAATAAACAAGCACATGCACTCTCACATTTATATACCAGATATTATATCCCCTTAAGTAAGTACGTACAATAAGCATTTAAGAGACTGAGGCTCAGCAGAAGCATTATTTGTACACAACTACAAGTATGCATAGTTTGGTTATAAGAAATTTTTTATTAAAGAAAGTACCAATTTTGCTTAGCATTTAGAGCAAGGGCAAGAACTCAAGTTACTCACCAGAAAGCGGATCTTTGCCAATCATTAAAACATTTGGTAAATTCATTACAATCAGCTGCTGGAGGACCTCCTAAACAAAAGAAAACATGAGGCAGAGTTAAGCATGAAGGAATCCCAATCAATCACATCACAGCATGCCGGGCTCCATCGATTCCTGAGCCTTTAACGCGCTGGCAGTCAGAGGTCACAAGAGGAAGCCCCACTTCAGAGAAATCCCTATTTGAAGATGGCATCAAGTTGCAGAGCTGACACACATCCATTGCCTCCTTTAACAGCAGCCAGTACAGAGAGTAGAGGGTCCCACGGTGCTGATCAAAACAAACACCGCCATGCCAGGGTACGCCCATCAGTCATGCCTTTTCCCCAGACATGACCTATATTCACTCCATGCTCAACATGCAGCTGTTGTCATGTCTCAGGGCTCACAAATGCAGCGGGTTCTAAGGTACCTAAGCCCATCTGTGAAGTTTTGAGTAATTCAGATAATTGCTCTAATTATTTCATGGTCTGAAATTTTAATGACAAGCAGGATAACACACAGGAGGGGAGCAACTGAACAGGTATCTACACTGCTTGGAAAAAATGGCCTAAAGTTTCAGATTTGCTTTTGTTTTTAAAAGGGAAGAAAGCAGATATGTTTAAGTTAAATCTCATTCGCGACTCATGATGTAATGAGATGAAATGTCTTATTTGCAGGAGGAAGCAAAGGAAGTCTGACATTGCCAGTCACGTTTAACACTTACATGTCAGCTGCCTGCAGCTTCACTGAAATGTCCAAAATGAGCTTATGGGACAGAGGAGACTACAAGCTGTGAGGTAAGTAAATGCTCAAAGGTGGACAAATAAATGCACTTCAACGGGGCTACATATGGCAATATGCTCAGTCACAAACCCAAGTCATTTGCTATAACATTCAGAGCCCAGAAATATGTTCCTAACTTCAACCTGCAGTTACTAGCACTCAGCTCAGATGATCTGAATAAAACATTAGGCAAGTATTTTATTTCACAAAGGCTTAGGAGAAAAATGGTTACGTGATTAAAGCCCTGTGCAAATTCCACACAGAGCTACCAAATGTTTGGCAGGTGCCTGTCCCCTGTTTGTGTTTCCCAGACCACTTCCAGGCCATTAGGAGGGCACACACACTAACACTTGCATGGAATTCAGAGCCAGGGGAAAAAAAAAAAAAAAAGAGAGAGAGAAAGAAAAAAACCACTGTAACCAGGCCCTGAATATAGGAACACATTTCCTGAAACAGCCACCTATTCACTGAAACGCCTTCTCTTTCAGTTACCAGATTGTTATTTCTCTGCTTTCAAATTCAGAACAGGAGAAAAAAATAAACCTAATGGAAAGAGGAAATATTCTAGTGTGCCTGCAACCTTTGATAAGTAATTGGTGTGGATGTTTAAAAAAATGTTATGGGATGTAGCACTTTTTTTTTTCCTCCAATTCATATGTACAACAGTCTAACTAGCAGTATTTTTCTGGATAGAGCAGAAATATTTCAGTGTCACAGACTGTATTTTTTGGTGCTATTAACAGCAAAGACCTCCATGCAAGGCCAAGCTGGGCTATGCTGGACAAGCCACTCAAAAGTCACCAGCCAAAAGCATTTATGGCTTGTGCACAGAAGCCCCATTAACCAAGGCTATTTGGCACTGCTCCCCAGCACGTGCAGCACAGACTGCATCTCGCAAAACACAGCTGCACTGCAGTGTCCACTCACATATTTCAGTATCTGCGCCCACCAAACTCTCCAGCTTTAACTAGTGACATCCATGGCCAAAAAAATAGAGAGCCCGTTTTTATCCACCGCTTGCACATAGCATGGCACTGAGGCAGGAATGCAGAAAGAATCCTTGTTGTCTTTGTGTAATCATCAGATCTGTGGCTCTTTGGCCAGCAGACAGACACAGTCCCGCAACCTTTATGCTGCGAGCGTTCTCATGCGCTCCCTCTGCAAAGCCGAGCGCACCCTCCAACTGGGCTGTGAGCGAATGCCCTTGGAGCTTATTCCCAGCAGTTAGTCTGGCGGGATTCTGACAGTCACTGAACACAAGCAGAAACAGCCCTGGATCAGTGAAGAGTCATCTCTTAATTCAGATTAAAAGATTCAAACTGTTGCAGGAGGTAATGCTCTCATCTGTTTATTTTTTTTAAGTTATTTATTCAGATACGTATCTTTATTGCCCTAAATGCCTTCGCCTCAGATTATTCTGATAGGAATACCCAGCCATTATACAGTGTAGTTCAACAGGTGATCTTTAAGTGCTTTATAAGAGGCCAATATTGTTAGATCATTATTTTCCAAGCTTAAGGAAGTGACACAGACGTTACTTCAATTAAAAGCACAGCTTACCAACTGAGCCGTACTGAGATGTACCAACAAACCATTCAACCACCCAGCTACAAACGTGCTGTGAAACACATTGGCCAAAAGCGCTCCCATTCACAGCCAAGCAGATGAGTTTTACCTCAGCTTTTGCATAGGTTAAACACAGAGTCAAGTTAAGACCGTTCAGGTGACACACAGTGACTCGCTAGCAAGGACAGTGTAACTGCGTCTCAGAGTCACCGCTCAAGCTCCCACATCTGGGCATACAACCAAAGTCCCTTCCTCCTCAACAGCAAATCAGGGATCCTGATCCATCTTCTATCCATCTGTCAATATTTCCTCATTTTCCTCAGTTGAAACACCAATACCAAACCATTTTACCAGACCTAAGTCTTGAGAAAGGTAAGACCATGCACAAAAGATAGGATCTGGAAGAGTTCCCAATTAACCACAGCTCTGGAGCAATGCTCCCAATGGCAGTACTGGATGTCAGGTTACCTGCAATACCATAACTCCCAGATGTGCAACTAGGACTCTGTGCTTCAGTCTGGCCTCTCTGCCCGCCTCACACTCCTCAGCATGGCTGGGACAGCACAGGCAGGCAGAGCAAAGCAGGACTTGCCAACACCTTCAGCAACAGCCCATGAACCCCCTCACTGCACTCCAGGGAGCAGCTGTACAAGCAAAGATACTGATTTCTCCTATGAGAGACCTTTAAATCATTTTTGTAGAGCTACTAAAACTTGATTGAAGCAGTAAAGATTACAGCAACAACACATGGTAACAATTTCCCCACTTACCAATACAATTACGGTTTGAGCAGCCAGCTTTACACCTAGGCTAATTACCAACTCAGCGGCCAGAACCACAAGCCAGGAATCATCTATCTCACAGAGACAAATCCTTACCATGTTTCATTGCTCCATAGAAGATTCATGAGAGAAAAGCATTTTGATACCAGAGGGATCCAGTTCAGAAGTGCTCCCTGGCAGGCTTTAGCACAGCTTAATAGGGGTGCCTGAAATTCTCCTCTTCCCAAGATCAGAGTATTTTAAGGTTGCACACACAGGCAAAGATCTTAGCTCTTCTGTCAGCAGTGATGGGTGTGAGAGCAGATGCTTCTAGGCAGCAGATCATCACTAAATGTTAAACATCAGGGGCCAAATCTTACACTAACCAGACGAGAGCCAAGCTCTGTGTGTGGAGGCCACAAGGATTTGTGCACACAGAGGTTTGTGCCCCATTTCTAGAGGAGGGGCTTTCAAAGGGTAAATCAAATGCCGTGCTCAGGCCCTGCTTTCACACGGAGCTCTGCCTGCCAGAGGCACAGGCTGTGACCCCTGCAGGGATGGCTGCAGACTGCAGCAGCTGAGGTCCTGGTGAGGACACATCCAGGGTACTGTCCCCAGTTGAGAGAGGGATGTGGAACCACTGGAGAGAGTCCAGCACAGGGTGAGGAGGCTGATCAGGTCCCTGGAGCATCTGCCCTATGAAGAAAGGCAGAGACGGCTTGTTTAGCCTGAAGAAGAGAAGGGGGGGGGCGCGGGATGGTGCACAGGACATGACCTGATCGGTGTCTATAAATACCTTAAAGGAGGGAGTGAGGTAGATGGGGCGAACTCTTTTCAGTGGTGGCCAGTGATGGGACAAGAAGAAAGCCACAGACTGAAGCATCAAAAGTTCCACAGAAACTTAAGGAACAATTAAGAAATTGTTCCTTAAGGACAGTCTTGACAGTGAGGGTGACAGAGCCCTGGGACAGCCAAGAGAGACTGTGGAATCTCCTTCTTCGGAAATCTTCAAAACCTGCTTGGATGCAGCCCTGTGCCACATGGCTCTTACTGACCCTGTGGGGAGGGTCAGACTAGGGGATCTCTAAATGTCCCTTCCAACCTCAAAGATTCTATGGCAGCTGCAACAAGGAGACCGCCTAAGCCTGAGATAAAGTTTGCTGACAATGGCCATGCATTACAGGACCGACACCCCAAAGGTTCAAAAGTCTAATCAAATCACCTAGAAATCATAAGGTTAAACACAGCAAGTGCTTAGTAACCTTCTCATCTCTAAGCTCTTGGAGCGCGCTTAATTCACATTTGCAAGCTCTCTGCAATTACTTTGCTAAGAAAGGAGCTTTAAAAAAAAATCCCTCCACACAGATTCAAGCACAGAAGGCCTCGAGGGAAAAAAGAAAGAAAAAATACAGAAGAGACGCACACGAGATTCAGAATACAATTCTGAGCACTGAGTTAAGCACTTAGGCTTATTAAAAGCTGAAATAAATAACTGCTGCTACCTCTTTCTCTTAGCTGAAGGATTTCTAGGAAAAATGTTAATTCAGAATACATTTTACAGTGTCTACCCTGGGTAACCATAACAGATGCACTGGCACTTTCCAGTCTTAAGTCACCATTATCATATATTAATATATGTTATTTTCTAACAGGGCAATGGGTCCCCTTTGAGGGTGTAAGAAAAATCTCCTGGGACCACACTAACCTTTACCATAGAACTGCTTCTTAAAAATACCTGGGGAACAGCATGGAAGAAACTAGTCTCAGGTAATTAGTCTGGGCTGCATTTTTAACAGCGAGTGTGCCAACAACTCCAGTAAAGCCTATGTTCTTGCAGAGAAGTAGGCAAGGAAAATCCCCCTTTCCACAGCTGACAGGCTGGATAAAGGGAATCTTCCCCCTGCATAGTGATGGGTAGGGTAGTATTGGCCAAGTAGCTTC